TCGCGAATGAATGCGCGTGGTACGGAGATAAGATCTAGCTTCAAGACAGAAGGCATAAAGCGTACCTGAAAAAGTACCAGTAAGGCACCAACCACGATGTTCTGACATACGCACTTCGATCAGATCACACTTGCTCTATGTGCCTGAGCATTGGAAAAGAAGAAGTGAAAGGGAGTCGTGAAACCCTAGGTGGCTGATAATACGTCAGATCAGCGAGAACGCCGAAGCAGAGTATCGATGTCCTGGAGATCACTAGTCAACTTACTGGCGTCGATCATCTGATTGAACCAACCCGTGGCTGATCACTGTCAGATAGTCATGTCTTCGCCAACAATCGTCTGGTTTCGAGCACGACTCAATGATACGGGGTATGATAGTTCTAAAAAAATTACAACTCGAGTGTTTCCCTCTGTCACGGATGCGCATGGCAAGGAGATATGATGTGTTGAGGGGGTAAAGTGCACCTGACAACGTATCACTAAGGCACCAGTTGGCTGAGCACAAAAAAGTGTGCAACCATCTGAGCTGGACATGTGGTACGCGATGCGAAAGTTCTGTGAAGCAGGAAAGTAAAAGTAGCGTGTCTGAGCTCAGACGGCTGATAGCCGCAAAGATTTCACGAGCATCAAATCCATTCAAAGCACAAACAAGGGAGGCGAAGTGACCGTGATGAGTAGAGGCCCAGATTGCTGATAACATGACGGCTCTGGTTAGCGGGACACAACTACCGTGACACCTGCTATCTGGACTCGACTCAGACAATGGGGAAATTATGTCATTGAAAACGAATGAAATGCGAGGGGCATAACGGATGGGGCGCGAGGAGTAACATTGAACTGATGGCAATGATTTGTGATGCCAGTGAGTAGAAGCCCAGATGGCTGATCAGGCAATGAGTCTGCTTCCCGGTTACCACCATATTGCCTATCTGGGCTGTCTGTATGAATAGATTGGGAGGTGCAGGGTCGCGGGAAGTCAGAGCATATCTCAGAGGAAAGTTCACGGAACATACTTATCTTGTGTTGATGAGGTAAAGCAGTCTCACAAGAAAAATAGCACAGGTAAACGATGAACGCAAAGTGTGGCAGTGAAGACGATACAATGGGACCATCGTCCCAAGTAAACTCGTTTTGCAGAGGAAGTAATTGCTTCCAAAAGGGTAGAGAGTGGGTCCGATGGCAGTAAGTAGATATTTTCGAGATGAGGGTACGGGCGGCATTGCTGTTGACATACCATCAGATCATTGAGTTGTAGGATAGAGCTATGCCAGCATGCATATGTGATAGTGGATTTGAATCTGATGGCCGGGTCGGTGCAAAGAGAGGCTAATTTATTGTGATCTTACTAAGACCGGGTACCGGTTAGAGACGTACCGGCAACGGGCCGCTTGTGAAAGCAGGTATCTATTGCGCGAAGTCTTTATGGAGGCCGAATGGGTCGAATAAGAAACAAAAGTGTTCGATTTTGGAGTACCCAGTTCAGGACAGATGCAGTACTTAGTATTTGAACTACATAAACCAGTAGTTGGGCGACTTCTCAGCATTTACAATATTTTAATCCTATATATCGTTTCAAAATTTATTTGTCGGAGATTTAGAAAGCCGCAGACCAAATGGATCTAAATTACAAATACGTGTTTCAACCTAAACATGGACGACAACAACATGGATCTATATCAGCTATGTCACATGCCTGAGCTAGCGGAGGATGAGATAGATTACGAAGATGAATTCTGGAGGTATAGCAGTTGTATTTGGTGCAGTCATTTTTTTCAGGAGGCGAAGAATCGCGACGTGAACGCCTTGCACACCGACAAGCAAGGTGACCGACCTCCTGATTCCCGTGCCATTACGCCCTAACAAGCTCTGTACTTGGCTCGCAATGAGCGATCTTTCATCACAACCATGGGGGCTGATGTGTCGGCATCTAATCACCTCCTTTCAGCACGTTTCGCGACCCCAATTCTAGCGATACAAGCGCTGAATGGTAGTATATCTAGCACGGACACTAGGTTGTTATAACCCCCAACATCCTCATCTCGCGCACACCCATCCTTCGAATATGACCGTTGCCTCAAATGATCCCAGTTGGTGGCCGTTCATCAGCCTGTCTCTTTTTTTCAGCTATTGGACGGGTTCGTTGTCTTGGTTGGTAATGTCTCGATATAAGCTTGACTAGCGTTTTTCAGTTGCTGCCGGTGTCGTGGTTGTATATGACTGGGGTAGGCAGAACAGTGTTCGAAAACCGCCTATAGTCTCATGATATTTCCAGCGCTAACATTCGGACAAGAGGTAAGTCGGTGCTATTGCTGGAGCAGCTGACTTGCTCAGGATGGTGGTATAGATCGAACTGATCTGGGTAAGTAACAGAGTCTCATATCAGAAGAAATATAGGAGAATATAATGGATTCGCGACAGAGGCAACGCTGGTCTCTCATGACTGTCTTGTATCTCTTTGTTCGTACTGCATGTTATGCTATAGCATGGTTGTGCTAACTTCCAAATGTTCTAGACACGCTATATTGGAATACCATATTCTGTGTATGTTTTTGAGGCCAAAAATTTGGTGCAGTACTAACGGCCCATCTCTCATCACCAGTATCAACGCTCTGTGTATGTCTCATTTACACTGTTTTCGATTCTTCTGACCGGAGGCAAATAGATAATATGCCATTGATCTCGCTGACAGATGCAGTGAGTATTCTGCAATCATCTCATTCATCCAATGAATACGATCATATGTAGGGGTGAGTGAGATTCTGAACATTGAACTTGGCTCAACATAATGACTCAATAGGTGTGAGTCGAGTATTTGATCCCAGTACGAAGGTAGTCACTAATTTGGTATTTCAGGTGACATTATGAACTGTGCAATAAATGGGGCAAGTGTGGTCGTAACTGCCATGTTGAGCGGTGAGTTAGCCAGCAGCGATACCTCGGTGATATTGACTCGATTGAAACATGATGCAAGTCATCATGATTGCTCGGTTGCACGCCATGTATCAGAGATCTAAAATCATACTTATCTTTCTTGTTATTGCCTTCCTGGTTGTTAACATCGCTTGCGGAGTAGTCGTCGCAATACTACTTAAGGATATGGCAGGGGGTAAGCTTTACTTATTGACTTGAAGAATAAAGCTCATCGGACAAACACTAGAGGAGCTGATAATCTCTGGCACGTATGTGTGCAATTATGGATTTAATGGGGATGCTCAACTTGTGGCCTCAATGGTTTGGATGCTCAACACTGTTTGGGAGGTCCTCGCACTGTGTCTTTCAGTCTGGATCACTGTGAAACACTTCCGCGACCTGCGACGACTCGGCCCATCGACAGGATTGACCATCGGGGACTGTTTCAGAGTGCTGATAAAATCTCACGTGTTTTATTTTGCAAGGTGAGCTTGTATTGTGCATGTGGTTACCGTTTTCTGCTCAAGCTCCGTGTGCTAGCTTTGTTGGTGTCTCTTGCCTCCAGCTTAGTCGTGACTCTCCAGAACTCTCTGTGCGCCAACCTGTCGCTGACATTTGTTTGTAATAACTGCTCATCATCTTTGTAGGGTTCAAATTCTATCGGAACCCAGACACTCCAAGGTGCTCTTCAAGTTTTAGCTGGCGTGCAGATGTTTGTGCTGGGACCACGCCTCATCCTTGGCGTCCGAGAATATCACGCACAACTTATAGCCAATTCCGATGCAGAAACTAGCATGAATTCGATTGTCTTTCAGGAGCATGTACATGTACCAACGAGTGGTACTGTATAAGGAAATGATTGTGGAGTGCTCTGCATGGAGGAGGTCGAGGATCTGTCATGGTAATTGTTTAAGTTGGAATTTTTCAAAGATTAGGTTTATGCAGACACTCATTTCTTGTCATACCGCTACTAGAAGTTCATGAACCGTACACCCATCCTTGCACCATGTGACGAGCTGAAATTATCCGGAACGTGTGGCAACCCTTGATGCCCAGCCAGGCTCCAGCTGATTCTACGTATTTGCGGGGTTCCGCTATCTGGGCACACAGATGAAGAACAAGTGATCGCGAAATGTGAAGCCCAGATGGCTGTAAGTCTACTAGACTGCTAGGAATCACGTTATTCGGCGTTTTGGTTGAGCATGCCCTTTGGCACGCAAAGAATGTTTCAATCCTAAGGGCGGCACCGTGCCTCCACAGTAGATCGCTGTGTATGATGACGTTTACGACAACCAACTCACTGACAATTAACTCGTGGCCATTCCCATCGACACTATGCAAGTGCTTGTTGTGTGTTCAGACCAAGACGACTCATTTGCACAGCGCCCTACAGAGGGTCAGTGGACCTCTTAACAAAGATGATCCGAGTTAGGCATGCACCGCGATGGTGGGTGACTCCTGTGGGTTTGAAGATTGAGTACAAGCAGCGAAGAGTTGCAACGAAGCCCATGAACTGTGGGACAAACAGCTTTCCTGTGAATCCATTCAGGTGCTCATTTCAGAAAGGGATTTTCGTTGGGCCCATGTGCACCAGGAGCTTGCTTGCTCATTTCAGAGGTATCGATCCAGTACTGGCAACCTCGAATGTGATGTGGCTCAGGATTGATTAGAGGAAAGAGAACGCTCCTCAAAGCTTGATGAATTCGATTTTCTATTGACGGTGGCACTGACTGCCAAGCATAGTCATGAGATCTGTCAAAGATCAACATGTTACACTGCACGCATGTCACGATGTTCGATAGTGTCGATGTCAAAATCATTGATACGGAATGATCCCTAATGATCTATGTATGATGGTCTGTATTTAGTGCAAATCGATCGATGATTCTGACTCCGCGGAGCCAACCGTGATATCCGCGGTCTTGATACTATGAGTTCCAACTGCCGATCTGCCTCAAACAACTCGACCACAAAGAGACGATAGGAAAGAGAAAGGGGTTTGAAACTTCGTCTGGAAAGATTATGTCACGTGGAGATTTGGCCAAGACCAGACGCATCCTTGACGCGGCCAGCTGTTTGGAACCCCTAGAGTTACTTCTGGAGCTTGACGATATGGTCATCCGGGGTTGTGAAAGTTGCTTTTCCGTCCGCGTTCTCGTAGTATTTGGACCCGTTTGGATTCTCATAGTAAAGGAGCCGTCTCTGAAGGAAGACGGGTGAGGAACGGATTATTCAAGCGTAGCAAGACAGACGAACTGGTTAGAGTAATGGTGACCAGTACCGCGGCTCCCATAATCGCGCGTGCACCAGTGATTGCCCTAAGGACAGGGATGTTGTGTCAATTACCTACGCATACCGAAGAACACTGCGCGTCCTACCTCCTTGTTGGTGCCGTGCCCGGTAACGACGTAGTCACGATCTGTCATAGTGTTAGAGCTCAGAGTATGAGTTGTATTAGGAAGATGACTTTGTTGAGGAGATCAGTGATGGTCTTACAAATGAAGAAAGGCTCGGACTAAGAACGGGAAATGAACCCAGTCTTGGATCAAAAGACTGAGGGAAATGATTCAAGGGGAAATGAATTAATACGCTGATTGAGGCGGAGAATCAAAGGTGAACGTGCATGGGGTGTGTAACGAGGAGTGATTCCGTATGTAAAATAAAAGGATGAGTACGTACGATCGAGTCATATCTTAATAGATGGCACTTTCGAGAGAGAAGTGCTTGGACTACGTGCTGTTGTGGGTTACTGAGTCGTGTCTTACACTCATATATGCTGGCATAGCCTCTTGGTCACCTGGACGCGTCTTATCTGTAGTCATAACTTAGTAAACCGCATTTTCCCCAATAAGGTCCTGCTTACTACTGCGGCTGAGATCTGATCAAGGAATGGGATTGTTACCGCCGGTTCCCGCCATCTCAACTTGTGGAGAGAAGCAGGCCATGCCAGTGATGCGTTGATGGATGATCCGATAGTCGAAGATAGGACCACCGTACAAGGTGCGATGAAGAATCAACTGGGGTAGAACGTGGTTCCCATACGCGTCTGAGAGGCCGTATACTCATCAATGCCGCAGGGGGTGAGAGTAGAGTGAAAGGAACTTCATCAACCAAATGATACCACCTGAGTTCAACAGGACAAGACCCGGCGTGCTTCGGCTGAAAACGACGCCGAATTCCTCAACCAGCTGTGATGATTCAGGCAGGCCCATCGACGTATTAAACAATACTCATGCATTCACCATCACTGACATTTGCCAAAGTAACGACATCGATCAAAGTAATAAGAACAAAAAAGAAACATGCATGCGAGGAATCCTGGATTTGTTCAAGAACCTGATAAACTGCGTCAGAACCTAACTTTTATAGTATTAAAATGAGCAATTCACCTATAATTACTTTGAGGAACCATTGGATTTATGAGTTTGTCCGCTGGGAGTAGTGTACTGCGAGTACCCTGTGCCACTGTTGTAGTAAGTGGACCCGTTCGGGTTGCTGTAGTAATAACTCCCGTTGCTGTATATAATCAGCGCCGCCGGTCAACAATCATTCACGAACATTGAGAACGCACGTGTTTGAATAGTGGTATCCAGTGCCGCTGCTACCATGATCGCGCGAGCAGTAGTGATTGCCCTATGGTCTTGTCAATCACCGCCCCTAACTGGCAAGACGGGCACTTACTTGGTCATTGGTACCATGGCCAGTGTACGTGTAGTCTTTTCCGTTACTAGACATCTTGAACGTATAAGAGTAGTGGTAGTGGGAGATGCAAGGTGGGTGGTGCACCAGTGAAAGACGAGCTAGCGCCGGCAGTTCTTTTATCTGGTAGTGCTATTTGTTGAACTTTGTCCCTTGTTTGTTTGTCGATAAGTATATGAAATCTGTGACAAATCTTTATCAAGAATGACACGACAGATGAAATTCAATACTTGAGTTTAGTCCAAGTGATATCGATGACTGGGACACAGGTTGTGCATTATACGTGTCAAGGGCAGTCGGCGCTACTTTGAACGTGGTGGGGTCAAGATCTAAGCTTATATAATTATACTTTTAAAGTTTATACCAGTCTCCGGGACGGCGTAAGTGATATGCCTTTTTGGGTGTTATAATATGTATACAAGTTGCCTGACCCATTCTGCATGCTACGTCTGTTGAGCAGCAACCATGGATCTCGCAAAACTTTTTTCAACACTCTCGTTGGCCGGTGAGGATATTCCTCCTCGCTCTACGACGCGCCCTGCGGGCAAACCAAAATTCGTAAAGTTTCTCCCTGGAGATAATGGAGAAGGCATGCCAGAAACTTTTTTTGAGGGTGGGTGGTTCAACTCTTTCGAGGACGAGTCCTAAACATCCTACTTCCAAGATCCTCGCACATTCAACCCAAAACCGGGTCCCCATGGGCAGATTCAGACCTGGGGTATATTTCCGGTATGTGCATTACCTACCAATCCTTCCGAATCAGTTACATTGACATGTACAGTACCACAATGATAATGTATGGGACTGTAAGCAACTACCCTGAGTTTAGTAAATATGATATCCTGACTCTTAAAACTAGTTGATGGAATCCAAATGATGTATAGAACAGTAAGTTTGTAGGGATGGTTTGATCGTCTTGCTTATTTGCCTTCAGATGGCACACCAATTCTCAGTACGACAACCGCGGTGGAAAACCCTGGCCTGAAAAGCAATTCATGGATGTTCTTAAGGATCGTAAGGTAGGTACGCTTGTAGGTGACTCTGTTCTTTCCCTGAGTTGCTATTATCTTCGCAGCGCGAGCAGCTCAGCAAACTTGATCTCGCGGGCCTTGACAAGAAGGATATTGTAATCAAGATACGCTTGAAGTATATTCCTCGTATTAATGATGCCCCACTCGCCGATATCTTCTTCGAAGGTTCTTGCAGGATGCCAACGGCGACCCTCGCATATGGCGCAGGGTGCGCCTCTCAGCTGGTATGAAGATAGGCGTGTTCCAGGACAAGGTCCTTTCACCCGTTCTGAACTGGTACTTGTTTGATCTTCAGACTCCGTATGCACACTAACGCCGTCCTTTTGTATAGGGTACGAAACCTCCACTGCTACACCTTCACGGATCTCAGAGACGGCGCCGTGTTTGGTCCCGAGGTAAACTGAGCTAGTTTTAAACTATAGTCCATCTCTGATTACATGCACAGGACGCCAACGCAACAGACATAATGCATATTAACCAGGCAAGTCAGCCCAAGTAATATGTTTGGAGCTTCTGACATCTTGACCCTAGGTTGGATATGATTACCTTCCGGATGACAAGTAAGAACGTACTCACACCGTGTCACGGGATTCTGATAACACTCAGGTATATGCTCGCCCATTTGTTTTCGGAAGTGGGTGATACATTTGGGCACTTGTATGACTATGGGGACAAGTGGTACCACGAGATCGAGGTACGGTCGAATATCTTGCTCCATACCGACTGATTTTACGTCGATCAGATTGAGAAAATTTTCCTCCTCGAGGAGTCGTATGGACGTGTCCAGATACTCGATGGCAAGGGCATGTGCCCAGGTGGTAAGCTATGTTTCTAATGTACACAATGCTCCACTTATCAAACTGTCGTCCAGAAAATATGAGAGGGTCGTACCGATACCAAGACTTTCTCAAGGCCTACGACACTGATTCGTACACCGAGCAGTAGGCCCTCCCTTTGATTCACTTTCTATGCTGAACATTTCTCCAGGGTCAAGAAAAGACGCGAAATTCTTGATTGTCCAAATTACAAAGGCTTCGGCAAACCCCCTTCCCTGTTCGACATCGACGCCTTTGACATCGACCAAGCTAACGAGCGACTCGTCGCGGCACTTAGTTCGCCCAACTCAGTCAGGGCAGGCATGAAGGCATTTACCATGCCCATCAACCCTAGTGCGCAGGACTCCAGGATAGGCAAACTCAAGAAAGGCCAGAGCATTCAGCGCGAATGGGACTACGAGAGTCACGGATATTGGCAGGAGACAACGTCCAGCACGAAGGATAAAAGGAGCCAGTCGGCTTGCGCTGCTTGTGGAAAGCCTGGTGGCCAGGATCTTAAGACGTGTAGTGGTTGCAGGGCCATTTTGTAAGCGATTCTGAACACGCTGGGGTGATATGATGCTGAACGTGATGTCGTTTAGGTATTGTTCTGCCGAGCACCAGAAGGTATGATTAAGGAATTTTGCAAGTCTTGTTGCTGACGAGTAATCAAGGTACACTGGAAAGATGTACACAAGAAGCAGTGCTCGCGCAAGTACCTCGAAAAATGATACCATCACATATTATTCCCAATGCTGGTATATCATTCCTACATGGAACAATGTATAATGTATATTTGTCGTATCTTATTTCTACACCGTCATTTCGAGCTCGACCTATCACGGACCATGTGGACTTAGCTGGCGCATAAAGCAATGAGTTCGATGTGGGTAGACGTATTGGCATCATCCACGTACCTCCTCGATATTCTGTCAGATCACCCTGTGTAACCCACGGCTGCTTGTAGAGGTCCGTCGACGCTAAAGGTGGTGGCTGATCAAGCTGCAACTTCGTCCTTGACACCGATGACGCGAGTGGGAGGAACGGTCATGGCGGTGTAATTTACGGTCAATTAGAGCACATTTACCTGCAAAATAGCGCATGGGTCAATTTGTGTCAATTTGCCGGTCAACCTAGAGCGGGATCCTATGGAAAGCCGGACACTCGGGATTCCTAATTCCCGAACCCCATTCCACTTTTGCTTGATTTCGTATCACTTCAACCAATCAAGAACCTTGAGGCGGGCATAAATACCTATCACCATCATGCTGATCTTGGTGGTACAAACGCTGAACGTTGAACAGTGGTATATCTAGCACCAACGCTAAATGGTTATACCCCATTCGCTCACACCCATCTCTCGAATATGACTATAGTCTCAAATGATCCCAGTCAGTGGCCTTTCATCATTTCGTCTCTTTCTTCAAGCTACTGGATAGGTTCGTCTCATCAAGATGTCTCGATCTAACATTGACTTGCGGTTTTGCAGTTTCTGCCATCGTCGTCGTGGCATATGATTGGGGTGAGCAGGATAACGTTCAAAAACCGCTGATATTCTTATGATATTTCCAGTACTAATGCTCGGACGAGAGGTAAGTTGATGTTATCCCCAAGCAACCAACTCACTAAGAACAATGTTATAGATTGAGTTGATCTGGGTGAGTGACAGAGTCCCATATCAAAAGAAAAACAACAGAAGACAATGAATTCGGGGCAGAGGCAACGCTGGTCTCTGATGACTGTGCTGTATCTCGCTGTTCGTACCTCATGATATATACTATAGCGTGGTTGGCAAGTTGTGCTGACTCCAAATTGTTCTAGATACGCTATATTGCAATGCCATATTCTGTGTATGTTTTTGAGGACCAAGAAGTGGCGCTGTATACTAATAGCCCATCCCTCGTTATCAGTATCAGCGTTCTGCGTATGTCTCATATGCACTGTGTTTTATTCTTCTGACCAGCGGCACACAGGAAATATGACATTGGTCTCGCTCACAGATGCAGTGAGTATTCCGCAGCCGTCTCATTCCTATCCAATGAATATGCTCATTTGTAGGGGTGAGTGAGATTCTGACCATTGAACTTGGCTTGACATAATGACTCGATAGGTGTGAGTCGAGTGTTTGATCATAGTACGGGGGTGATCGCTGATTGGGTGTTTCAGGCAATATTGTGAACTACGCATTAAATGGGACAAATGTGGTCGTAGGTGTCATGTTGGGTGGTGAGTTACTTAGCTAAGTGATATTGACTCGACTGACACATAACGCAAGTCATCATGATTACTCGGTTGCATGCCATGTATCAGAGATCTAAAATCATGCTCATCTTCCTTGTTATTATCTTCCTGGCTGTTAACATCGCCTGCGGAGTAATCACGATAATAGCACTCAAGGATACCGTAGTGGGTAAGCTTTACCTGTTGGCTTGAAGAACATAACTCATTAGATAAACACCAGAGGAGTTGGTATTCTCTGGCATGTATGTGTGCCATTATGGATATGATCGGGACATCCAGCTTCTGATTACAATGGTTTGGATGTTCAACACTGTTTGGGAGATCCTCACACTGTGCCTTTCAGTCTGAATCATTGTGAAACACTTCCGTGACCTGCGACGACTCGGGCCATCGACACGATCAACCATCGGGGACTGTTTCAGAGTGCTGATAAAATCTCACGTGTTTTATTTCGCAAGGTGAGCTTGTGATGTGAATGTGGTTATCTTTTTCTGCTCAAGTTTCACACGTGCTAGCTTTGCTTGTGTCTCTTGCCTCCAGTTTGGTTATCTCTCTGCAAAGCTCTTGGTGCGCCGACCTGTCGCTGACATCTGCTTGTAACCACTGCTCATCATTTCTGCAGAATCCATATTCTGCGGGAGCTCAGATATCCTATGGTGCTTTTGAGATTTTCTTGGTCGAGATGTTTGTGCTGGGACCACGCCTCATCCTTAGCATTCGAGAATATCACACCAAGCTCGTAGCCGACTCCGACGCAGACATTAGCATGAATTTGATTGTTTTCCAGGAGCGTGTGCATATGCCAACTAGCAGTACCGTGTAGGAGAATACTTTCCGAGTGTTCTGCAGGAGGAGAAATTCGGTCGAGGATCCGTCGTGGTATTTATTCCTGTCATTGATGTCCAGACAGCTGATTCTTATGCTGTTTCAAAGTATATTTAGGACGAGACAAACCCTTTTCTTGTTATATCAACTTCTTGAAGTCGATAAACCGCCCGGCCTCACTTGCACCAAGTGGCACGCTGAAATTATCTGGAGCGTCTAGCAACCAACCCGAGTCCTTGATGCTAAGACAACTAATTCTACGTGTTTGTGGAGTTCCACTGCCTGAGTACACAGATGATGAAGAAGTGACCGAGGAGTGTGAAGGCCAGATGGATGTAGCTCATTGGTGCTCAGATACGTCTTCATCTATCTGGGCCATGGAGAAGAAACAGGAAGAAATCGCGCGGACCCGTGGTTCGACTGTATACCTCTATCACGAATGAAATGACAGGGAGATGAAGTGTGCTGAGCGGGGAGTAGAGAATTAGAGAATCGGAACTAATTATTAATGAGAAATCGATCACGATATTCTGAAATTGCATCCATACACACGTAGATCGGAGCCGTGACGGACGTATATCTGAGATCTGGTGTATGTAACTGCTACAGTACACGATTTACAACCAATGCAAAGCAAGCTCGAAGTTGTATTCCGTCGTCATTCGTGCTCAATCATAATCATAATCACAACCATACCCACCATTGTGGTAGATACCCGATCAACTCTGTTATAATATCCATTTGTTCCTGCGTAGGATGCTCTTTAAGAGTCTTCTTGTTCAGAGCACACAGTGAACACCGGTACGATGTCCATTTGAACGGCCTTGAACTCATCGCTGCCAGATCTGAAGTATTTAGTCATTAACGCTTCGAACCACAGAGGAGGAACCGAGCCATCCTTTGGATTGAAACAGCATTTGAAATGGAACGAGCCCGACCGAGTTGAAATAAGCTCGCGTCCTCGCATCATGGCGTGGAACTTGTAGGATTTGTGATCACGTTCGAGCAACACTTCTGGACATTTTTTCTCTGCGAAACGGATTAGCCAGTCATGGGGGATTGCATATCCATAGTGCTGGACGTAAGGACGACCTATGATCGGATTGATGTGCAGCTGCTTTGGTGGACGGACGAGTTCGAATGGCTCGGGTTGTTGTCTGACGAGTTGTCTCGCGGAAGTCCCAGTTTCTTGAGCTGTTGTGGTCTTCAAGTCGTTAGAGTGACAGTCACGACGAGGAGAGAAGATATTGATCGTTGCGGCTTTGAACAACTTGGAAAAAAAAGAAGGCATGTTCGTTATGGATAGGCAATGACAAGTCTCTCCAGCCTTATATAAGGTGCTGAACAAAGGGGACTGAAGTGGCGCATTATATTTGTGGTTGTACAATGGAACAGCGAGTTTTGGAAAAAAAGGCCACAGCTAACAGTGTGCTAATATTTCCAACTAGTAGGGGTGCAATTTATTAGAACAGTATTACGGCCGGTGGTGGACTCTCACCGAAACCCACAATGTTTTGCGGCGGTTGTCTTGGATAATAGACAATGCACGAACCGGTGAATCTACACTGGACCATGCTTTTGCGCACACGCACTATCTTGATGGCGAAATCTTTCGCTCTGGTATGTGGGTATGCTGCATAGTAACTCCGCTTTGTGACGGTTGCCGCAGCACATTATTAACAGCGCCAAAATTAACTGTAGCGCTTGAATCAACGTGGTGTGATAGACCCTGCATGCTCAAACTCCCATGGCCAAGGAGAAGGTTTTGTTGACGTGTAGGCATTGTATTTCTGGTTAAAAAGTGTGAGATGGTTTGTGCTAGTCAAGAAACGGTATGCATTGCGTAGCAATTGGTATTAGCACATGGCGATAAAGAAACATGGTAAAACAAGAGGTCTGGCCGTGTTAATAAATTACCATGGCAGATAGGAGAACAAGGCTGAACGGGATAGAAGAAACAACTCAAAAGATGGAGACAGATGGACGATGAAATAAATAGGTGCATCCAGTGGATGACTGGCTTGATTCACAAGACTGACAAGGAGTTTATGATGCTTCTCCAGCAGGGCTAGTGAACAACAGAAGAGAAATCATTATGGACGCAAATCCAACAGAAGGTCATGATCAAACCGCAAATGAAGAAATGGGGACTGTTAAAAATAGATAGCAATGATAATTTCCTAATTTCGAACCCTGATGCCCGATACTGACCAGTCCATGCCTTGCGGATAATATCAAAAACCAACAACAAATGGGATAGATTGCAGCGCCGTCGTCCAGCCGGGTCGAGTGGTAGATACAAGGGAGTCTGTTCTTCATGTTGATACAACAAGGATTCCGCATGATTGATGAGAAATGAATGCGTCATGGAAAGCGTGTTAGACGTGAAGGAGCCAATCGATGAGGACGGGAAAGATAAATCAAGTGCTTGCGAGGTCGATACTAGCACCGAGGACGCCGCCTCTATCATGATGGATGTCAGTGAAACCGCTGACGGTGCTATGAGTGCCTTGATAGTGGTGCCGCTGCTGCTCTTCTTCAAAAAGCTTTCTGCCGACATCCGCACGCAGGTTAGCACTCAGACCAGATTTGAGAGATACTGCTGCACGCGGCGCGGCCGTGACGGCAGGGGAGGGAGAAACATTGATAAAGTCATTGAGATTGAATGGGACATTGCCCGGAGTGGGTGGAGCGTGAAGGCTGTTTGAGGGCGAACCCGAATAACCGTTTGAAGTATCACTGTGCCTAGAAGGTGAAGGTGGAGATGGTAACAGTGATGAGGATTCAGCACTCAAAGTTGGGGTGGGTGGAATAATTGTTGACTCTAAAGATGGCGCAGGCGCGAGAGACCCAGAGGAAACGGCATCCAATCGCGATGGCTGGCTCAAAGACTGCGTACCATCTTGGCTAGATGGTAAAGTCTCTGTAAAGCTGCGCTCCGATCTCAGCGAGCTTCTGGTGTCCTGGCCTGCAAAAAGGATCTTTCCCTTTGTAAGGAGAGATGCGGAACCGCTTCCAAGGGCTCTGTAGGCTGCAAGATCTTGGGTATCCCTCTCCCGGGTAGTTGTAGGGCGTGCGGGCGAGGGCGATGTATGTAGATAAAGCATAAGTTTGGCCGCCTCCTCGTCATCTGCACGAGGCGTCGAATACATATTATCGCCTGAGTCACGGGGTGGAGTAGCTGCCCGAGGCATGTTAAATGATGACTCGGCTGACGGCAGCAGCGAAGTCGCTGCTGTCGTTGTGCGAGCAGAACTTTGTGCATATTGCGACAAAGACTGGAATGAACTCGCATCAGACGCGGTAGAGAGCGTGGACCGCGGAGATGATACGCTAGCTACGGAAGGACGCGACTGGAGAAGCGATGTCAGAGTAGCCACAGCCTGCCTCTCTACATCCGCCGAGTCTGCCACGGACGCCTTCTGCTTGCCTTTGTCGGCCCGTTTGGGTTTGGGCCGGGTAACGTCCTCCTTACGGCTACGGGACTGCGCGCGGGTGCTCTCTGCTATGCTGCGTATGGCAGACGCACGATCCGATCCTCGGGACCGAGATCCGGCAGTCGAGCGAGCGGCTGCTTGGACAGGAGGATCTGTTGAGTTGCGAACAGTTCGAGCTTGTTTCGACGGAGGAGGTCCGAGGAGGGTGGTGAACAGGCTCTGAGTCGCGTTGGGACTGGAACCTGTCATAGTCGTGGGATAGTGGGAACGAGGAACGGATGGGGAAGAAGTCCCAGATATGGCGGGAGGAGCCATAGCTCCACGCCGTGCGACTGTGCCTTGTGTGGCGGGGTTGTTGTAATAGTTATTCCCAGCGGCGGCCTTGCGCTTAGTGCCGATCAGGCGCGGCGGGGCAGCAGCCAGGGTACGGGTTTTCGCCTCGAGGTCAGTCAGTTTGACATGAGGAATATTATGGGTGGCCTTGTATGAGGCATACGACAAACGGGCGCGAAGATTGCGCGTCACCTAGGAGAGGAAGATAGGAGTATGTTAGCATCCTCGTATTATATCACGACCGCGCCCCACACATAGCAATCTCAGCGGGGGATCCGGTATACGGGCACCATAAAGTAAACAATATTCTGAGTGCCCTTCCATATCGTTGGCGCGAATGAGCGCCCTCCAACGCGTCCCGCGAAGTGCTCAGTCTGAAATGAAATAACTCACCATCGAAAGCTCCGTGCTTGCCATGACTTTCTGGATAGCTTTCAGCCTATCCTCCTTCTCTAATGGATCCACATCCATTGATGTAGAAGGGCTGTAGGGCTGTAGGTAGGTCGTTGGCGGGGATGCTGAGGTCACCGAAGACGACGGAGTCGCCATAAGGAGCGCGTCGCTGGGAGTTTCTAGTGATTATATACAGAATAAAGCACAATATATCACAGTGGGAGCGTTTGACCGTAAGTCGTAAGACCTGGGGACCGTTACAGATGACCAAGAGAGGATGCTGGTCGCTGTGTGGGACGTCGAGGAGCGCGTTAAGGAATGGAGCACGCGCGACGACGCGCTAGGCTTATTCATCCGAATTCCCACGGGTTGATTTACCCGCACCCGCAGGTTTGTGCCTGTTTTTACCCGCAAATAACCAATATTGGTTCAGAATTCACAGAGAAATATTCTTCACGCTCAACGAGAAAGTCATATCGAAAACGTTTTTATCTACACTTTCCTTCACGCTGATCGGGAGCGTGTAGTGCGTCCTGGACAGAAACCATATGGTCGAAGTGGGTTATGTTTGATCGGTGGGGATCGGTCGCTTGCACGACATGGGATTGAGATAACAGGATACAGACTTGATGGCAAGATAACCGGAGTTCACGTGTCTAAAAGACGTCTCGCGAGAATATAGCCGTAACCTGGCTGAGGTCATGAGATGAGCATATGATCCATGAACGCCCATTTTAGTTCATATCTTCCATCCAGAAGGCACTACAACAGTTCCTACCTTGGACGACGCTCCTTCACTTCTTGTTTGGGTTCTAACTTCTGAGTCGTACGCGACAGCGCCATTCATTTCTTCCCAATACCATCTCGGAAGAAATCCCACGCGATCTTCCCTCTCCTTCGATGTCCTTGACGTCCACATCATCTAGCAAAACAGCAGAGACCCCTGTCTTTGGCGTGAATTTGATACGCCAGACATTACTCTTTGAGCCTCTTCTGATGGTGTTCCTGAGGAAAGATAGAAAACAATCTCCCCACGATAAACAAACATTGGGATCCCAGGCGCCAGGCTTTCCTCGAACCAGGCGAGGTATCTGTACAGTCCGAAAGACTTGCGTAGTCGTCAAATATCCTGATGGCTTCCTAAATCCAACAAAGACCTCCTGTATTGCAGTGTATTTATAAGATGGTCCTGGTTCAGTGTCATTTTGCATACCGGAACTCCTAGCAGAAACGACTGGAAATAGAATTTCAAAAGCTTCCTGTCGCATGGTCTCAGGGGGTGTAGATGTCTGAAACGCAGATGATGCTTACTTTTCAAACTTGGCTTCGTCTTGTGGGCCACGTATTGATAGTGAAGTTTTGAGTTCCACGAAGTTATCAGTATTTCCTGCATATTTTCCTGCAACAAATAACGTCTCCTTATCCATTAACGCAAATTGACACATACCTCGAACGCAGTCTACTTCTCCGCCAATGATGATCCGTGTATCACCCAACTTGGTTTTCACAACACTGCACCACTGAACATTGGTATCAACATCGCCACCCCAACCAACAGCGCCCGATGTACCAGAGGGGGAACCAGAGGCATCATGTTCATGTTCGTCTGGAGTTGATGATGTGCAATACGATTCAAATGAATATCCATAGTAAGACTGAAGTCGATGCCGAGGTTCCAGATCGCTCCTTCATCAGCGTAAGCAAGACACACATGTAAGACGAAAAAAGCTTCACTTTTCCTTTAGTTTTGCATCTGATAGATGCTCCTCGAAGTACATAGTACCATCGACACACATCACATTGAGCTCCCAAATATCTCGCTCTTCGTAAGGTGCCGTCAATATTCTCCCTCACCAAAAGCATTCCCCAGGTAAACAAATATCATACAGTGAATGAGATGACATCTCACTTGGTGATAACCCCTCTCCAGCTTATCACCCCAATCTCGGGATTTTGCCCATTGAGACTTTTCTTGAACCGTGACCACGCGCTCAATAAACCATCAATGCGTCCACGTTCTTCCGGGCGCCGTGTCCAATTCTCGTAACCATAATTGAGATCTGCGCCATGCGGAGGATTGACGAAATAGCGCAATGCAGAGTCATCAAATTGTAGAACGCGAGAGGGTGAATAGGAAAACGTGAGAAGTTGACTAGGGCGCTGAAACGCGGGTGGATGTGAGGCTGGATGTGAAAGCTTGGGAAGGCAAGAGCGTAATCGCTTTCTAATTTGGCTTTAGCCACCTTTCCAGTTGGTGAGGGGTCATCCTCTGCCGGTCGCTTGAGACCCATTAGATTTGTTAGTACTTGCTGGTTGGTGGTGGTCAGGTAGTTTGTTTATTTCAGAAGCTTTTGCCAAACAACAGCTTTAGGAGGTAACACGTGACAGCTTGACAGGTCAGCTCGTGCCCAAGTAGTCACATTTGGAAGCGACAACAAGCTGGCTGGTGTAAGGTGCATTTTGCCCTCATTCATCACGCAAGTCAAATGGTTCATCTCCGTTTTATGCCGCAAAAGTAATATCAAGGCAACGTGCTGAACAGCCCTCTCGAATTAATTTCAGAGCACTTCGGATGCCTCGTTGACTCGGAAGTTGTACAGTTCGCGCGCACATGAGCCTGCTGCAAGCTTCATTGCCTCCAATAACGGCAAGAATGATTCGTTAGATGTAACCCGTTAAACTGAAATGAATGCTTACCCAGCACCTGAATGTCAGCGTCAAGCACAAGCTCAGGATGCTGATTCATGCCCATGACACATTTTACCTACAATTAATGGCTCACGGAGGCGTGAACCTGGTGAGAACCGTGAGAGTCTAGACACATACCTTTTTTAGTATCGTCCGTTGGAGCTCAATGATTGGAGGAACTCTCAACCGAATTTTGTCATTCAACTGACAAACAGGTCTGCGCTGGCAAAGCGCTTACTTCAGGCTTCAGCGCTTCAGCTCTGAAGTAAAATCCAACGGTTCAGCTTGTGCAGGTAAGTGTGATTCACAACCTGCAGCACTCAGTACTAGCCAAATCAGTCACTAGCACTTCTTGGCGTTAATATTGCGAAAGATGCTGTCATCTTTCTCCTTAAGTTACTCTATTAGCATTGAGACGTGTCATTCAACATTTACCCAGGCTCGCCAAGTCCAACTTGAGCTGTTCGATCTTGTTGTCGCATCGTCACTAGTCCAGCAGCTATGGGGCCCCGGCACTTCCTACTACCAATACATATCATCCGTGATCCGATATATAGCTTGCATCTTCGGCGATCTGGCAGGGCGGGTGAACACGTAACGGTACCGTCGACGAAACATGCCGCATCAGTCACCAAAGCACCGCTCCGTCCTTACTACTGCAAACACGAAGTGACTGCGTGTCCGGGTCGAAGTGCCGTGGTTCATTAGCATGTACCTATGCTCTCATAAGTAAGCTAGGGTTGCTTCCTCCACCCCCTCAGTTTTTCTCCTCTGTACACCAGTAAGCACTAACGATTCCCGTCATGATTTTCTGTTAGTATTCGCTACCCACTTCTTCGCTTAGTCACTAACAACCTGGTAAAGTTACGAAGAAGCCTAAACCATCTGCGCTTCCTCCCGGATGGCCATCACCATTCCACAACAAGTGTAGCCAACGAGACTGCCACTACGCTAATAACCCGCAAAGCGTCAAAGGTGTTTACCAATGTCGCGGCGTCCCCGGAGGTTTCTACTGCGAGGGTACATACAAGATCGCATCCACTCGAGCGCGTGAGACAGAGCACTATCTGCAAGAAATGGCCATGGCTCGTAGGTCAGCTGAGGAGGAACAGAGAAAGCGCACGACATCGGAGATGAGGCGGCCTGAGAGGCTTCCTGAGCTCGGGACGCGACGGGGAGGGACGAACCTGTCTAACAGGAGAATACCAGATGAGCGGGACCTCCGACCCGGTTTTGGGCAAGCTCCTCGCATTACGAGAGGTACGGAAAACAGGAGGCCGCAAGCGGGTGCACCATATTCAGGTCATCGCCCGTCACAATCCGAAATAGAGTCGGAGTACAAGACTGACCAAATTCTGATGCATCTCTATCCCGAACGAGAGATCCGACCAAGATGGTGAGTAATACGCTGGTCTATCAGAACTGATGCTCATCAACTCGTAGGATATAATGAACACACTGCACGAGCCTCGCATCCTATGTATTTTTGGGCCTTCCAGAGCCAGAATGATGATTATATGATTCCTGACACGATATTACTTACATACGTCCTATCAGGACAACTACACGTATTCTATTTTACTATTACTTCGTGTCACTTATACTTCATGGACCACAAGAGAAACTAAATGACTATTCGATCAAGATGCACTCTGGACCAGTGCTGCTACTGCCTTCTGCGACCTAGGTGCGATCGAAACTGAGAAGATTTTTGGATGGCTACAAAGAGACTCGTGAAGAAGAGCGGCACACATTCAACTTAATTAAACGACCTATGGACATGATCGCACTGGCTTGTACTGATCAATGGATATCAATTTCGCATCCGAACTCGTCTACAAGCTTCTTTACGTCGAAAACAGCAGGAACGGACACGCATCATGCATATCAATCTAAACTGATCAACGAGATACCCATTCCAACACAGCTCCTGAGTCTTGTTTAACGTTCTCGTTGCAGTATTTTAGCTGAAATACCTTGTTCTGGATCCACGTTGCTGTACAAGGTTCATCCGAAAGTGTTCCGCCCTCCTTAATATAACGTTCAGGCATGAACACAAAGGGTTCAGGGTAGTGTGTACATACAAACCTTTTATCGCGTGTCATCATCGCCCTGTCGAAGTCCATCAGATTATCAAACGAGGAACTTACTTTATGTGATCAGATCTGAACCATCTAACGTAAGTGGCATCTTCTAGATGCATACCCAAGTTAGCAAATGGCCTATGAGGGGATGTTCTCACCCAGTGGTGTGACTGACACATTGCAGGACTTCGCGATACGTGGCCTCGAGGTAGACCGTGGACTTCCTATCACCATTCCGGTGCTTCGGGCGTCTTGACTGATATCTGTTTGAGCTTTATTTTTCCCTCCGGCCAACATAGCCTTCACCATCATGAAAGCAGACAGCGCTGCAGGATGATGTATATTATTACTACAGAGATATCAGCAAGATGAACTACGTCGCTGGGTGGATACGATGCGAATGGTTTCATCACCATCAGCATTCTTGTTGCAAATAGAGTATGAAAAATAAAAACACATCCGCGTAAGTTTGTTCCTGTTCCATTCTTTGAGGTTCACACTGGTGCGACGTTTAGGTGGACAAGAAACGGCAAATTTCGATTCAAAGTGAATGAATGTGCTATGTTTGTACAGGATATAGTGATTAAAGGGGATATTTCAGGGAAAGTTTTCGAGCAAAGGCACGAAGCGCCTCCCGGTCTTGAAGGGACTTGTCCTGAGGAAAAGGTGAGCTGCGAGGGCGGGCGGGCCGCCTCGCTGAGTCTCGACTAAGTCAGCAACGACATTGGAGAGTGGCGAGGCGCTGACTCGTGCAGCGCGCGATGAAAGAGGGAGAGGAGGGTGGGGAAAAAAAAGCTATGACGACGAAGTGCACGGGGTGACCGGTGAACGGTCGTCGTGGCGGAGAGGTGCGAACGTCGCTTCTGTTGTTCACTTGAAGACTTAACTCTATCTTCTCCGGTCGTACCTCGCTACGCAATAAAGTAGCAATTAATGCGGTGCTGTGCCATCAGCTTTCGGTGCACGCACTTTGACCAACGACGAGTTCGGCGTCCCTGACGCCAACACCGACAGAGAAATCAGCATTCAGCTGTCTGAGGCCCAGGTCCTGATAGCAATCCGGTCTACAGTATGCTTTGTTCCTCTCCCGCTGATTGCCCGATCAGCGATGGCTTCCGCGGAACCATTTCATGACTGTACAAGATCAAGACTTGCATCATGTTGCATGTGCATTACCGTTAACACCGTGAACCCAAAACTCCGACCATATAAATCGAGCGGAAGAAAATGGGCGATGCTCACGTTCGCGGTTGAACTTTCGTTGTGTGGAACAGCTAAGATGTTATGGATCATCTGGGAACCTCGCTAAGCTGAAGGCTCCGATATGAAAGCATTGCTTGGAGACTTACTGTCAGTCCGAGCACCGACTTCCATACGCGAAATACGCGCTGTTTTTTACCTTCCAAAATTCTTATTACCGATCTTCCCTTCTGCAGCGATTTTGCCACGTTGTTCCCATTGCAGTTCATTGTACTGATACAATCCATCAACTGTCCTGCTGGAACATCCAAGGTTTTCAGATGTTCGCGCTTCAGGATCTCCATAACTGAAATTAACCGAGGGATCATAAATCGAGCAACATCGGCGTGGGAAGTGTGCAGCGTCAGTGACTTGTCAGGATTTCCCGAACCCATGTTTTGTCAGATGAACAGTCAACGGAAAAGCGACAGAACTAACCTGGAAAAAGTCCGATCCATACTTGACCCAATATCTGATTTTGCCCTGCCTTGTCAGATTGCAAATCAGTCGTGACCATTTCCTCACAACTACTAGAGGCGTGTCTTTGTGAAATGTATTTTCGGTGTGTGGTGAATCTCAAGGAGGGATGCGCATGAGTGGAAGGAGGGGTTTTTGAAACTGGTAATGTATGCAGGTCTTCCGAAATATCAGTGGCCCCCTTTTGGGTTTTTTTTAACGTGAATGTGCAGGTTTACCCTTGCTGTGCGATACAGCCCCACCGTGAATCGTGATAGGCACATCGCTCAGTAAACCCCTCATGATCAATCTCCTCCTGATGAAAGATATACCTGATTATGAAGGGGCTGCTGGATCTCTGGTCAAACCTCTATATGGAGACAGTCTTTCGGTCACGGATACATTCCCCGCTGAAGTATTTTGTCGAGTGCGTACATCGACTCTAAGCGTCTCTCATCCCCATCGAAATCGCACGTGCAGGTTCGTTTGGTATTGGGACTTAGCTGACTCACGACTTTAGTAAGAAGAGCAGTAGGAGAACAAAGCAGGCGCTGAATATAGTGGTTCAACTGATGGGAAGTAGTACTGGGCAGAAATCCAACTCTCCTCGGATCAACGCCCACGCTGGTGAGGTCCACAGTACGTTCCTCGTCAACCTCGAATGACATAATCATGCGTTCCAGATATGTTATCGCTCTTACCTCTTGCTATGTACTATACAGCACCTTCGCCATTCAGCCACAGATCCTCCATGTACTTGCTCGCGCCTTTTCCCGCGTCAGCGTTGTTCTATTAACATGCGCTGAGGTGAGTATCTTGCACCGTGTAGTTGACACACTCGCTAACATGTAACCTAGTCTTTACTAGGTATTTATTATTAATATAAGCGTTGATCTATTAACATCTACTGAGTCTTTACTAGACTTCCTAGACCACTGACCGTCTATCTCCCTGTTTACCAACATGTCGGAATTGCTTGATAGAGCAAAGAAAGCATATCGTATTGCAAGAAGGCGCGCAACGCCGACGCAGACAACCCAGCGGGCGCCAATACAAACGATGCGAGTGCACACGGAGAAAGTGTGGGCAGTCGCATTTTTTAAAGACGGCCGACGGATCGTCACTCCCTCAAAGGATAGAACCCTGCGAATCTGGGACGTGGAGACAAGAGTACTGTTGGGAGGCCTATTCGAGGGACACAGTGACCGTGTGTATTCAGTCGCTGTATCACCAGACGATAGGCGATTTGCAAGTGGTGGAGAAGCTGGAGCCATCATCATCTGGGATGTGGATAGGAAGCAGATGCTATTTAAACTGAAGAAGCATATAAACCTGGTTTCGTCGGTGTGTTTCTCTCCCGATGGAAAGAGACTCGCAAGCGGGTCACTGGATAAAACAGTTGTTATATGGGATGCGAAGACTGGTGCTGTCCTCTCAACACTTCAGAGTGCTCGAGGTTCGGTGTTTTGTGTCGCCTTCAGCCCGGATGGGCGACAATTAGCGTCCGGCGAACAGGGTACTGTTCGGGTTTGGAGCACCAGTAACGCTGAGCTTTTGTTCGACATTGACTTCGCTCACCAAGGTTGGGTTAAAAGTGTTGTGTGGACACCCGACGGCCAGCAACTCGTCTCTGCATCACACAACCAAACAATCAAGTTTTGGGACTCGTCGAATGGGACCGAGATTGGCCAACCTTGCACCGGTCACACTCACGACATCAACTCACTTGCCATTTCTTCTGATCCCTCCTTCATTGCAGCCGTCTCGTTCGATAAGACTGTGCGCCTGTGGAGCACTGAGTCACACAAGCAGATAGGACAACCACTCAAACACACCACACGTGTTTCTTGTGTCGCAATCTCTCGTAATGGAGAACTGCTCGTGAGTGGAGACTACGATGGAAATCTTCAGCTCTGGTCCATCGAGAACATACTTTCCGCAACTGCTCGAGACGGATTCCTCATACTATTTATATCTTGCGCACCGCAGTAAGGTGAAGTTGGGCCAAAACCTTTATGCGGAGGCCCTTTCGGACGCAGAAAAGGTGCGGACGATATCTGTCGTTGTTTTAACATTTGTGATGATATTCGTAAGTCATCGAGCTCAACCCTACGTCTTATCTCGGGCGCGAACTGAAGCATGCGGCGCTTCGTGGATCGCAGCGCTATGATGATGCATTCGAGGCCTTCACAATCATGCCCTCCAAGTTAGATGATGCGCGCGACTCACAGATACGACGTAAGCTCCAAACAACTCGAGCGCCGATTTGAATATCACTTACAATTTTTGCAGAGCTACGCCGGCAATCCGTCAGTACATCTCAAGTAGAAGATGCTATTCGACGAGCCATTCAAGCCAAACTGGAAAACGCTCCACTTCGTCTAATCAACACTATCACTGGGCATATATGTGATCGAAATGCACAGATCAACGCATTCAGGAAGAGCACAGAGTACAAAAAGCTTTTGCATTCATTGGTGATGCACGCGCCCCTCCAAACAGAACTCATCAAAGAAGCCGTTGCGACGTACTTCAGCTGGGTCATGTTGTCCCATAGATGGGAAACCAAGGAGCCACTACTGCACGACATTCAGGGCAGGGGCATATACGACTTGGATGCGGTCGGAACCATTGTGAAGTTGCAGAAGTTTTGCAAAGTCGCTCGCAATGCGGGGCATTGCTGGGCGTGGAGCGATACGTGCTGCATCGACCAGAATAATAACATCGAGCTCCAACAATCAGTCAATTCCATGTTCATTTGGTATCACTACTCAGCGCTCACTGTCATTTACCTATCGGATGTTCCTCCTTCGTCAGAATCCGGCGCGCTCGCAAACAGTATTTGGAACACGCGAGGATGGACCGTTCAGGAGTTTCTCGCTCCTAAAATTGTTCTCTTCTACCAGGCAGATTGGACCCTATATCTTGACGACCACTCACGCAACCATAAGGAGTCTGTCAGTATCATGAGGGAGTTGGAGGATTCAACTAGTATAAATGCGCGGGCGCTCGTCAACTTCCATCCGGGGATGGGGAATCCCCGCGAGAAACTTCGATGGGCGTCGAACCGTGAGACCACGAGGGAGGAAGACATTGCCTACTCTTTGTTTGGCATCTTTGATGTCAGCCTTGCTGTTATCTACGGAGAGAAAAGACAAAAAGCGCTCGGACGACTCTTACAGGAGATCATAGCCTACTCAGGCGACATCACAGCCCTTGATTGGGTGGGACAATCGTCCAACTTCAACAGCTGTCTGCCAGCCGACATTTCCTCATACAAGGCTCCGCCATTTACATTGCCATCCCTATCCGAAGACAAGATGCAGAATTCGGTCTCCACGCTGCGAAATGCTGTGGCTGTGGAGTCGGCTTTGAATATGTATACCCTCCTTGAGAAGCTCAGTGTTCCTCGTTTTGCCAATGCCAGACTGCAGTTGCCTTGTATCGCATTTCCTCTGACGGAAGTCAGGCGGAGGACCTGGTCAATATGGGGACCAATGTTTTACTTATGATGTCAAGGCAGATGGGCTTCACGACCTGTCAATCACCACGGAAGACCAGCTGGTTCAATTCTGGCCTGGAAGACCTGTTCGGCGGACGGTTTTGCTCATTCGTCCATGGACTCGTTATCTCCTCGAGCTGTCTGACTTCGCAGAACTGCCGGACTTTGCAGAACCGCCCGACATTAACGAGGAGAGTAGCGTGGAAGATTATTGGTCTGCGCTTGAGTCTCCATCACCTGATTCACCTCCCGAGTCTCTCGGAGAACATGGACCAGTTCATTCGGAGTGCGAGCGGGCGTTTCGATTGGTCGTTCACCTTGGACAGCCCTTTAGTGCGTTCTTACTAGCGCAGCAGCGTGGTGGGGAGTATAGGAGAATCGCCTCAGATAATAATATCATCGCGCAAGTTAGGGACGCGACTTCCGTTGATAACATGATGGACGTCAGAACACTAGAGATATTGTAGGAACACGGCACATACCTTTGACAGCACTTACATGGAACAGTACCCCTAAAATATTGTCTCTCGTATTAAATTGTACTTATGACATACTATCTAGTAATAGTCTCATCTCAGTCTCAAACTATAGCAACGGAGAAGGAGAAAATTCGAGCGGAAGCGCTTCCTACGCTTGTCCAGACTCATGAATTTCATCCGGCGTCCTATAATATGTATAATGTCTCCAATGTTAACAAGCGAGCAGCAATTTGCATATGGAGGTCAGTGACAGGTAAAGATGATGAAGATGCTGCTGCCAGGACTGAGTGGTGTGCCCCGGAGAGAAAAGAAAAGAATGTCAACTTTGTCGAATGCTTTTGGTAAGTGTTTTTGTATTCTCTGCAAACCACAATTTGTAGTTTTCCATAGAGAATCCCCATGATAATGGAGTCCCTTCGTCGAGAATTATAGCTACGCAGTGGGTCGAATTTCATACGAGACATCTTGACGAATATAAGCACTACTTAAGTTACATGACACTGGATAAAGGTACCCATCCATCTCACCAATTCATCATAGTTCGGCCACTGTACAGGCTCACCACACCGTTAGCCGGACAGTTAAAGAAAGGCACTCAACATACGTGACAGTTTTGCATTCGGTTGTTGCCATCTATTTGACATGACTGAGCTACGAGCAGGTGATGACGCTGCAGCTCCGATGTCAGGAACTGCCAGAAAGATTCATATTGATGTGTCTGGGAGAGCATTAATAGCGTTCGACTGAGTCTTTGAGGTGCGAACCTAGAGAGTGAAGCATGGAAGAGCAGTGCTGCGATCTGCTCGAAATGCAGGATGCCACCTGCAAGGATATATAGAACAGCCTTCTGGAGACTATCGGAGGTGATGAGTTAGGGTTAATGAAACACGTGTTTTATTTCACCATTGCTTCGTATCACTTATACTGCTTGGACCACAAGAGAAAATTAAATGATTATTCGATCAAGATACACTCTGGACCAGTGCTGCTGCTAGGTGTGATCGAAATTGAGAAGATTTTGGGGTGGCTGCAAAGAGACTCGTGAAGAAGAGCGGTACACATTCAGCTTAAACGACCTATGGACATGATCGCACTGGTTTGTACTGATCGAGGGACTATATCAATTTCGCATCCGAACTCTTGTAACGGGCTTCTTTACGTCGAGAACAGCGAGAACGGACATGCATCATTTATCTTAACCTAAACCGTTTGGCGAGGTACTCGTTCCAACACAGCTCCTGAGTCTTGTTTAGTGTTCTCATCGGAGTATTCTAGCTGAAATACCTTGTTCTGCATCCACGTTGTTGCTGTCCAAGGTTCGTCCGAAAGTGCTCTGTCCTCCTTAATATAACGTTCAGGCATGAAGACAAAAGGGTTCAGGGTTCAGGGTTCAGTGTACATACAAACCTTTTATCGCGTGTCATCATCGCCCTGTCGAAGTCCATCAGATTATCAAACGAGGAACTTACTTTATGTTATCAGATCTAATTTCCCTGAACCACCTAACGTAAGTGACATCTTACGGATGCATACCCAAGTTAGCAAGTCACCTATGAGGGGGATGTTCTTACCCAGTGGCGTGACCGACATATTGCAGGACTTCGCGATACGTGGTCTCGAGGTAGACCGTGGACTTCCTATCACCATTCCGGTGCTTCGGGCGTCTTGACTGATATCTGTTTGAGCTTTATTTTTGCCCGCCGGTCAGCATAACCACCACCATCATGAAAGCAGACAGCGCTTCAAGATGATGTATATCACTATATTAGCGAGATGAACTCCGCTGCTGGGTAGATACGATGCGAATGGTTTCATGACCATCAGCATCCTTGTTGTAAATAGAGTATGAAAAATCAAAACACACCTGCGTATGTTTGTACCTGTTTCAGACATTTGATGCAGTGCTGTGCCATCATCAGCCTCGAATGCACACAGTTTGATCGACGACGGGTTCAGCGTCCCAAATACTAACATCGACTGGGAGATCAGTATCCATCTGTCCAAGAGCCAGGTCCTGATGGCGGTCCGGGCTGCAATCTCTCCCGCTGATCGCCCGATCAGTGACGGAAGCAAATGAATACTTCCGCGGAACCATTTCGTGACTGTACAAGATCGAGACTCGCATGTGCATTACCGTTGACACCGCGGACCTAAAACTTTAATCGTATGAATTGAGCGGAAGAAAATGTTAAAATGTGGCGATACTCACGTACGCAGTTGAACTTCTGTTTTGTGTGGAACAGCTAAGATGCTATGGATTATCTGGGAACCTCGCTAAGCTGAAGGCTCCGATAGGAAAGCATTGCTTTTGTATGTCTGTGAAGAGCAGACTTAATGAGTCGAGAACAAAATATTCAATTATTCATGGACGATCGAGAAGCTCCTCCGATTTGATGACTAACATCTTCCGGCAAAATCTCGACAGTGGAGGTCGCCTGTGATTCAACAGTATAAGCGTTATTCACATATTTATCGACAAGATTTTCACGAACCGTGTTTTCTGTCCCGTTTTGCGTGTTTTAACCAGTGGGCTAGGTCTCTGATACAGAACAATTTATCTCGATGATAAGAAGTCGAGGGAAGTCAGGGGATAGACACCTGCTGTATTTCTTCCTTCTGCAAGCGAAAGAAAAAATTACAGCAGGTTATCTATCTAGATCCTGACCTACCGCTTGACAAAGACGGGGAACGTAAAAAAGGGTAAGCACGATGGGGTAACTGAAACCAGCACGGACACAAATATGGCTCAAGTTGCTGCCAAAAAGAAATGCACTATCATGAGCCACGTCCACAAAGGACGATCGGGTTCTGTGTCTCGGTTATGAGATGGCATCCAACTTCAAATATGAACACCTTGAAAGTCTAGCATAACCGATTAGCGAACACAAGAAGGAAGCAACTCGGACAACATTACATACCTAACAGAGCTGATAGATCCTCCACTGTAGTAATATAACGCATATCGTCATTCATCCAGCATCAATCAGCATGGACGCGAAAAGATGTATAATCATGGAGCACACGTAGAGGCATTTGGAATTTGAGCTGTGAAGTGACCTCATGTACGCACTGAAAACGAGTTGAGCCATAACCAATGGAATAACAATATACTGTACAAACAAACAACAAAGCTGCAAATAAGTATTATCATGATACAGCACAAAACGAATGAAGCAAACGAGATAGGATGCTATAAGTTCATGCCCGACGCGCCATCACCCATGAGCCCTCTTGTTAGATGATTCGGCTTCATCAAGCGATCTTCTGCGCTTGCTCCTTCCTACGTATGAGGGCGGTACGATGAAATACTTTTCAATGGTAGGCCGTTGGGACCTCGATAGCTGAACCGAGTACCCTCCCATCGTGGGGCTCGTTGGATTGGAATGTACAAGAGTCTCGATGGTCATACTAGATGTTCCTACATCTTTTGGCGGTTTCTTTTTGTACTAGACGATATTAGCCACATCGTTCTGATGTACGTGAAAGAAGACGCACGGTTTCGAGTTCAGGTTTACCACGCCACTTTGCGATTGCTTCACAGAAGCGTAGTGCTGCCCTTTCAACAGGCTCAGCAGGATAGTGCCATGCTAGATCCTCCATGTGGGTAGATAGATCTGGCGTCAAAGGCGGTATCGTATAGAACTAGGGCATAACAGAGTATCAGCAATCTTGTGGCATATTTCGCCAAGATAAAGGTCCCACCCTTCTGAGGCGCTCGTCCATTTCAGCTTCAAATTCAGCTTCGGCGCCCTCTCTTCGAATGGGCGTCCCGTTTCGCGCAGCTCGCAACGCAGGAAACATGATTCTTGTCGCTTCTTTGAGACTAGGCAAGTCGTCTGGTTCAAACCATTCGAATGCAAAGTCTGCGTCGTCCGGTGATTCGACTTGGCCCCGATGACCCAACCCGTCATCAGTGATGCCCAAGCCAACTGATAGAAGACATTCAACAGCCTCCAGACCCCACCACCCTCCGGTGAGGTAACCCTCCAGGGTAGCACGAGAGAGCAAGCCCGCAAGGAGCATGTACCATTCTCGCGAAGGTCGTAAAGGAGGTGCAGAGGACGCCTCGATGGTTTGAGATCTTCGGGATGAGGGCCGAGGTGACATTTGGGCAGACATCTCTGCACCCCGTTGCCAGTCGCCCTCATACTCATCATCGCCAAGCTCTTCTCCAAGCTCCGTTGCGACAAGGGCAGAAAGCCTCAAAAAGCGCGGAATGAACTCTGACAGCCGAGTGTTCCCGATGCCAGCACCCGAGTGTTCCCCTTCAGAATCAGCCATGCACCACTTCGACTTCCGGCGCAATACGCTGCCATCCACACCCGGCTGAGCCAAGCCCGATCCAACACCGGGGCCATCTTGCCAGCCAGCAATACCACCTCCACTCCCACCCATACCTCCACCCGAGCCGCCTAGTCCTCCTTCCCAGTCTCCAAAGCTTCTGGGACCCATTGCAGCAGATGTTGAGCGCGCTCGACCAGACCCGCCTGGTGCTTTGACAGAATGTTTGGCTTCGACGCAGATTTCGCATCCAGTATGAAGATGCCGGGGGCACCGCAGGCCGGGGGGTGAATTGGCGGTGGAGGGGTCGGCACCTTGCATGTACATAGCGTATACACGACTACTAGGCATGAACTTTGATCTTCGGTTCTTTAAGATAGCTTCGTCAACGATAGATACTTTGACTTCAGAATTGGGAACTCACACGAGACTGCACCATTTGTGGTGCTTGCATTGGAGAAGGAGGTGCACGAAAGTCACCTATGGGTAAAAGAGATGTCTGAGGAAGTGCCGCAGCTGATACCTGTGAAAGCAGGACGACATATGGAGGAAGGCTACCAGTAATTCCTTGTGCAGAGGACATGCTACTGCCCCTCCCGGATGCTGGCGACGCCTTTTGCAATGCAGGAGAGCTTCCTGGACTTCGACCATTTGAAGACGCTTGATCTGAACCATTGCTGGGAACAATGATTGGTGGAGGATGGTGATGATGTCGGTATGGAGGGGTAGGTGCTTGACGCGCAAATAAGTCATTGATGACAGTCCCCAATGCTAATCGTAAACGAACGCCATTCGGAAGAGTGTGCGGGTGGGATGTCGCACGCTGAGGTGACTGATGTGATTCTGGGCGCTGTGGGGATGTAGGTGGTGTGTTCAGATCGTCATCGAGGATTGGGTGCACAGGAGGAGGCTGGTCGAGCATCGATGTGACCACCTTCTCGAGACCAATAGCACGGAGTCTTAGAGTCCTTGCTAGGGTCAAGTCCTGTTTCTGCCGACGATTGTCCTCATCCTCATTATGAGGGTGGTTTGGACCACCCTCTCTGGCTTTGAGCATTTCAACATTTTCACCGTCACTTGAAACTTCGTCATCTTCCTCATAGGACTCCGGACGTTCACGATGACGGTAATTAGGCGAAGAAGGACCTCCTGTTCGGTCGGTCATTCCGAGCTCAGCACGGGCCTGGGTAAATCGGGTTCGGCCATGGACCCATAACATATGATCTATTATGAGAGTTCGGGTAGATTTCTCCCGAGGAGGGATGGAGTGGAGATGATGTGCATGTTTATGAGCTGGGGCCTTGAAAGATCGTAGACCATTTGTTGGATTTGAAGTTGATGAAGATGCGAAGATGGGTGGCTGATATGTCGTTGCCCCCGGAGGCACTGCTACTACTTGTGGTACACTGAATGAAGGAAAATGACCCTGATTCAAAATTGCGGAACTAGACGCGCTCCCGTTGTGCAAAGATGAATAGGATGTCATGTCATGGATCGTGTCACGGTATATGCAGGGAGTATTTTGATCCTATGTCGGCCGTTGTCCTTCTCGATAATTCCGATGGTTGTTGATACCTTCGTGAGGAATCGGAACACCCCGCTTCGTTTCAAACCCTCAATAGCCCAACATTGACACCCAAGTTTGACAGCGTGGAAGGCCGCAGTCCAGCTGCGGCCTTCGACTTTGAATCATCACTGGCAGCTATCGTTACGATCTTAGCTTGAATGCTATTAATTATTGACTGCCCTGGTCAGACGAGCTCGCTGAGGCATGTCGCAGATACTAAGGTGAGTTACTCCCGAGTGATCATAATTAGCCCCCGGGCCCCTTAGTCTGAGACTGATCCAAAAATGCAAGTTATTTCTTCAATCCACGATACAGACCATAGTAAGTCCTCATCATTGACATCGACAAGTCAGCTCGGGACCTCGGTGCCTCATTAGTACAAGTTGCCACTTCCGTGAAGTCGGGTATGGCTCGTGCGCGATCAGTCGGCCATACTATCCCACCCAAACCAGGCGCGAAATCATCTCGCAACTGACTCTTGTCAGCCATTCGAACACCGTGCTTGACCGAAAGCCGCCGCTACTTCAGATCGTCTCTCATTGGTAGATCGTGATGTTATGTTGCGTACGGTTGCATATATCAAATAGGGAGAACGTGTGTGTTAGACGACCACGCACTAACTTATCTCAGGTCAGTGCGCCAAGCCTTTCTGGAACACAGGGCCTGCGGACTTTTTGCTGGTTAGACCGCGGTTATCAAATTACAGGGTTGGTGGACTGTATGGAATCAACATAAGTTTACTTGTCATCGTTCAGTATCCAGGCCCAGGTCAGAGTTCATTCTATTCCTCATCACTTCTTTGACGAGACTGATTAGGCCAGCGGATTAGCTCGAAGACGCCATGATCCGCAGTGCCATGGTGCTTGAGTTCGGAGGATAAAGCGTTTATCTGATCGGATTCAACTTCAAACCATTCGATAAGTCGGTGCCTCCGTAGGTCGGGGCCATAGCGGTCAAGAGTGACCATTGTGCACGTCAAATCAATGCGTCGAGAATGCGGCCTTCGAACTTATGTTATCGCTACGCCCAACGTCAGTAGAATGGCGACAACATGCCGTCGCTTGACTTTACTTCAGTAACAGTTGTTTTGACATCATTTACATAATGATAAAATCCTTCGAAAACCACTGGACGCTTGTAGTTTTTTTCGCCACATGCTAGCGCCGAATGGCCTACTAAGCTTTACGTGCTAGTCAATTTCGACATCACCTTTTGGCACGCTGTCGCTCGCCGCAGAAAATCACCTCTAAGCCCGATGTCATCCCGAACCATTGCGGGAGCACTCAGGGGCCCTCTAATCCAAACTTTCTCATGTCGAATTTCTTCGCTCAAGGTGTTTACAACCCCACTCGTCGACCAATGTTGTATGTGAGACTATACTCTGGAGAAAACACTGCTCCGAGGTCAGTTCTCAGGGTGGCGTTTTGTCAGTCAATCTCGTCCTGTGAGAAGTCAATGTCGCGCAAGACTAATTTTAACTCCGATATTCCAGGGCATGATGCTCGAGCTCAATTGCTGAGGCACTCAGGGGCATTTTGACCCAGACTTTCTCATGTCGTATCTCTTCCCCAGCGATATTCATCGGGTCTGAAATCCCTGGCAACCCTTTCGCGTTGGACTATATCCCGGTGAAGTTGTATACCGAGGTCGTCTCGGGGATGTGTTAGTACCACCTCCCACAATATTAACGCCTGACCACGTTGGTGACTGGTGGTCTCAGTTCGGCAGCGTTAGAGCTGCGGCAGAATGCCGCCATCAATTTGTCTTTCCTGTGCCCGAGGAATCTCTTAGACCCCCCACATCACCACCCGTCAACCATAGTGGAAGAGCGCCCGAATTCAAAAGGGATCGTCGTGTGCGATATCAGCAAAATGTCAGAAACATAAGATAAGTACCCTAGATATGTCATTCACTAAATACACACAGGACTCGACGGATTAGTTTAAGATGATACCACAGCGCGCCCGTACTACATCGCCTAGTAGCTACCGAGCTGACATTTCTGTCCCATAGGACGCTCCTATAGCAAATACTGCGGCGCCGCCAGTCTAAGAGTTTCAGCTGTTAGAGATCTCGTCGATCCCGGACTTTTGACAGTCTGCGCGTTCATTGTAGGCTATGATCAACGATACAAGCGTATATCAAATTATTAGCGCAGCTCCACCAGTCAATTAATTACAACTGGCGACGCTTCCGACTCAGTTTACCTATAGCTAGCCAATATTTTAATTGTGACGAAACGTACCATGGGGCTGAGTCTTGGACTAGTCATCGCACACGGACAACCAACATCGGCATAGCCTTGGAATCTGACATCACGCTTCCGCAAGTTGCCGCGGGCTTTATGCTGCGGCGAGGATGGTTCCGCGATACATCCATGGTCAATCATTCAAATACTATTACTAGTTCCCAATAATACAACGACAATGTCGGCCAGCGACGCCACACGGATCGTGATCGTGCCTCGAAACAATGTATCCCGTATCCGCCCAGGCTGTGCAAACCAAGTATTGTGCTAATTGGGATTCTCCGTGTTTGCGATTGCGGTTGCGGTTGCGGTTGCGGAATGAGTCAACGGAACTCACACAGCTCTAGATGGCGTGTTTTCCACCTTGCGAAGAAGGGCGAAGAAGGTTGAGGCCTGAGGCCGAGGTTCGTTTAGTCAAGTAGCGTCTTCGTCGGGGCAGTGTAAAAGCCGAGGGTATCCGTTTGAACTTTGAACTTTGCCGGGCTGCTTGATCAGGCGAGGCAGTGCTCATGATTGACGCTAGTCAACTTGAGTAAGTAGGTGTGTACAGCCGCATTACGGGTAGACGTCACTGTAATGAAAAATCTGAAGCTTCGAGCCAGATGAAATTTGGTTCCGGTGTCACAGCATCTCGTCGACATCGCCATATGCATAATGAAGAGCTCGAGCAAGATCGATCGTTGAATTTTTAGTTCCATTGTATAAATATACGACATGATGGTCAGACCGACGTCCGCCGTGTCTAAGATAACTACGCTACAAGGATGAGAATCACGGGAACGAATAATAACGGCGAAGCGGGGAAGGCACACTACAATGATACTTAGGTACGATGGCTAGCATACGAAGTTGCATCAATAACATGATAAATGACAAGACAAAAGGCGAGGGTAGTATAACAAAATCTTTGGTCAAAGGAGAATCCGCAGAAGCGTCCCAGGAATATGGTAGGCGGTCGTGAAATGTATGGAATGTAGATTAGACATATCAAGTCAGTTATTAGAGGGGCTGCCGCGTATCAGGATGGCGAGGATGGAAGAGCATTATACCATGACACTCATGCTAGTCCACCCATTTTCCTCGGTCTTGGGTACAGGGCCACGATCGGGCTCTTGCTTTGCAGCATCGAGAATTCGCTGACAGTCAGCACCGCCCTCAGAACGTACTATAGGAAATTCCATAAGCGATGTATTATGGATGATGAAGACACAGCACTTACAATGTCTGTTCAAGGCATCCATTCGCGCGAAGGTCTTATTGCACCCATCGCACGTGAAAGGACGATAATTCGAATGAAGCTGTTCATGTCGCTTACAATCGTGCTGCCTTGCAAACCCTTTGCCGCATCCCGGCCACTTGCACTGGAATGGCCGCTCTTCATTGTGCGAACGCATATGACCTTAAATAGATACGTCAATATCAGTGCAAAGAGCCGATATGAAATTTAATTACCTTTCAGATTGAAGCTCCTCGTAAACGTGCTGCCACACCCAGGCACTGGGCACAGGAAGTTGGCATCCTGCTTGCGGCGCCGGTGGCTGGCGCCAGCCGTGCGCTCACTGGTCACAGTTTGCTTTGTGACAGAGATCTGGCTCGCCAAAGTTTGGGCAGGGTCTGGGCGAAGCATAGACGGAGGACGTCCAGCGAGGGAGACGCTGGGTAGATCCTCGTATCGCACACGCGGGCTGGCTGATGGACTGGGATATGGGCTTGCGCGATTAGATGATAGCCCACTCCAGGTGCCATCACCCCCACCGCGTGAGCCTGATGATGCTCGACGGTTGTGCATGCGAATGGATTGCACGGTCTCTTGGGGGTAGAGATACTGACGGTTGATGAGCTCCGTGTGGGAAGAGGGAGGGAAGAGGAGAGGAGAGGAGTGAGAGATGTCTTCAGAACGTGAGAGGCGGTTGTGGGTTGGGCGCGAGCCACTGTCAGATTTGGATCGGCGCAGGTTGGCGGCCATGGCATCGGGGGTGAGGTAGTTCATGTTGGATGGAGCGTTGGGAGTCCCAAAGTTGAACTGCTGAGTATGAGAAGAGTTGTTGAACGATGTCTGATTGGCACTTGCACTGGAAGGATGCTGCGATTGATGTTGGTGCTGCGGAAGGACGTCACTGAGGTTGACGGTGCCGTTGTCGTCGATAGCAGAACTGTTAATGGCTCTGAGTTGCTCGTGGGTCATGAGGGAAGGATCCCAGAATGTTGGACGTAATGAAGATGAGGTATCGGATTTACTACGAATGCGAGGGTTTGTACCCGGGAAGAGGAAGCTGGTATTTGTAGGATCTGGATGTGGACCGAGAGTGGACAGCCCCTGTGTATGTGAAGAGTGGCTGTGCGAGAATTGCTGTGCACCCTGTTGTGACACCCCGAGTAATTGAGATCCCTCGGTATGCTGAATTTGTTGCTGATCCCAAGGGGGGGTCGCAGCCTGTTGCTGTGGCGCTTTTTGGGTTGATCCTGTACGGACGTAAGACGCAAACAAGAATATAAAAGGCAATTAGCGATTCCCGAAATAAACAAGATCCATCACGGAGTCAACTTGCCTTGATGGAGAGTTTTCAGGGTAGAATGAAAAGGGACCGCTTGTGAGGCCGCTCCCCCGCCACTTATGGGTGTAGCAGGAACAATGTGCAATTGCGGACCACTAGATGTAAAACCACCATCACCGTCTGGAGCGTTGATCATTGGAGGATCCTGGGGGAATAATGAATGGGTGGCTGGACTAGTATCAGGAATTAAAAGTTGAGGGGGAGACTGGGGCTTTCTTGGGGGTGACATGGAACGATCTCCGGGGAGTTTATGAGACTGCCAATGGGGTGATTCAAAATGAAGATTTTCGAATGAATGAGCCATATCGAGACGTGGGGACGACGTGGGAATTTGTGGGTTGGAAGATACTGAAGAAGCACGACTGCGTGGCTCATCCCCCCCTCCGTTGCTGGATGGAGAACTATGATCGAAGACATTTGGAGAGAGGTTATCGAAAGACGCATGGGTCACGGAAAGTGAATTGTGATCAACGTCAGGCATGTATTCGCCTTGAAACATGAGCAAACCAGAAGAATTTGGTGGATCATACTCGGAGGGGTCATATTCATCGCGGGAAGCGACATTGCTTGTATCTCCATCAAAGAGACCAAAACCCTCTGAACCATCTGGATCATAACTCAGCTCTGAATGACCAGAGTAGGGAGAGTTCTGATAGGATCCATTGTATGACGGAGTATGGGGGAATGGAGGAGAGAGATGACCGAACTCGTAAGAATCAAAGGGGGGATTTGCAGGTAGGTTCAAAGGCTTGCGTGAAGGACTGGTAGAGTGAAAATCGAGCTCGTTGAGATATGGGTTTGATTCCGAACGAAGTAGCGCCATCTGTAGAGGAGGTGTTGTGTAGTGGGCCAGACCAAATTGTTAGATCGGTATAACCGATTTGCTGTGCAGTAAAGACGCTGATTGTTTGTTTGAAAAGACAGCAAAATATAATAACAAGTTGAAGAGGGATGAGGATAGGAATAAGAAAGATATAGACGCTTGTCAAAGGGGAGGTAGAGGTTTTGTGAGAATTAGCCCGTTCCAATAGATTTATTATTGGCATCAGTAGTGCCTGGTCTTTTTAACCTCCGCTTTACATGTATATTCGGCCGGACTACTACCCAAACGTAGAAAATATCCTGCCGAGAGTGCGCTTTCACTGGTCGGCGTCATCCATGTCCCGCGCAAGGATCCGGCCGCGATTACTGAATATTGCCGTAATAATTTCGAAGTTATTGTTCTTGACAATGTTCAAGTCAGGGTAGATAAGCCTCGGCAACGTTGTGCCCAGCTGATAAGCATCCGCTGATGCCTACAAGACCGAGAAGGGCGGCACTTCTGCCTACCTCCAGAATTCTCGGCATCACGCAATCCATCTTTTGGTTCGGCAACTCCCGATTGGTTTGTTCCAGCATCTGCTTCCGCTTCCCTCCTCCATCCATGACATGATCACATCATTGCGTTGCCGTCGCCTTTTCTTCGAATCTTGTTGTTCTCCTGCTGATTCATCCATCTTGCCAAGTCGACATTCTCAAGATGCCGATCACAACCATTTATAGACGCCGCGTCGGTAATCATTCTTGTCGGCGCATGATGGCAGACGGTCCCAAGGCCAAATTCAAGGACCGTTCGTCCCCCCATTCGCCCAAAAATTACATAAATGGTACATTAGGCGCCATCAACCATGTGCAACTTGACATAGACATGTCATTTGTTCATGATCAGTCATTGAGTAAATCTTTCTTTGATGCTCCTTACGTACATCAAAACTTACTACGACTATCGACATCTCTTCATCAACCTCACGGCCAAAATGCCACCACTGCCTTTACATCCCACTGGAATCGTCGAATTCGAAACATAGCGATACGATCGGATCCTTCTTGATCTTAATATATCGTGGTATTCATACTAATCAAAGTCTATCGTGAACGCTTCATTCGTGGTGACTTAGGGGTTTCCGATTGCGCCGTGAAAGTTGGACAGTCGCGAAATTCCAATAGCTGGCAATATTGATTTCAACTAGTCCTTACATGGGTTCCTCCCGCGAAGACCTTGGCAGCGCATCGGCAGCCCAGGACGACCCTCCCAGTCACCCGACGCCGACTCGCACTACTATCACTATAGCACCGGAAAGTCACTCTCCCTGTCGATCCCTGTTCCAAAACTCCTTTTTCAGCCGTTCTCGTATTGCGACCACATGGTGCTTACTGTGACAGTGCCATACATTATGAAATTTGCATCGACTTAGTATATTCTTTATGCACATCCATCAACTATTGATCGAGCTACCCGCGAAAGTTACGCTCGCTCTCGAACTCCGTTCCTGAGTACTTCTCCCGCAGTGCTTGATGCGGTATATCAAAACATCTATAGAGTCCGCAGTAGACAATGTTACAAGTCGTTTCTCCCGTCTCAAACGCATAATCCTCTCTCGGATCCCACGATAACCGTGGGTTTAAACCGTACGGCCGATCGACGAGGTGAACGTGCACATTCATTGCAATGGAGAGCAAGCGAATACGACCTGCGGAATTGAGATATCTGGCCCGGCTGCACGTTACGCACAGCCCCGTTCTATAACCCAGCCAAGAAGGGGCTTGTTTAATGAAATTCCTGTATGCGGCAGTTTGGCACACCTTGATCAATATGTATTGATGCATCGCCTCTTTCATCAACGATCGCGAGAACATCAGACAGAACATATGATCAGGTCGACACAATATCACTGGAAATAGGAATTTCTTGTAGCATACACGCAGCATCACGCGACCCAATTTCCGAGGTACAATCTGATCCATCCCACCATGCTTTGTGAGGCAGTGCGACCACGTCCCCTACAAGTGGTAGGATCGACGAAGGAAGCATTCCCTGCCATTCTCCCGTGTACCTGGGGTTATCCTGTCAAACACGCGGACCTTGCCGTAATTAATGAGTAGGCCTTCGATCCCCGGCGGCTATCGAGGATGATGGTTGCACAGGACGAGCTAGGATAAGTTACACGGACGAAATGATATCATTGTACCATTGTTACGCCCCATCGTTGCTAATCAAGGAATCATTTCGATTCTAGTATGGATATTTTAGCCTCCTCGCAACCACCAGCGGTGACTCGGTGCGATGTGTAATTCTCAGTGTGCGGGTGTTTAATCGAACCCATTCTTGGTGCCCTGAAACGTGCCTTGCGAGAGTGTTGGCCACGCGCTGTTATTCGAGGGTAATTCTCTTTCATATCGCGTTTCTGCATTCTAGACGTGCTCAGTACACCGCATGTGGTGTGCATTGTTATTTCGAACGTAGAACACGAGGAGAATCGATAGGGTTGGCTCCCACCCGCCGACGTTGCTGTGCACGCTGTGGGACGCTGTGCTAACCTCCAATTAGCGCTGGATCGGGATTTAAAAATAGTGCCGCAGGGGGGTCGTTCTAGGTAAGAACGTAAGTATTGTGGCTTTTGCAGGAGAAGGCACAGCCTCTATAATAAGAATATTCGACCTGAGCCATGGTCACCGTTCCGCTGATAGTGGAACCCCGGGCTTGGAAAACCCAGATTCCAAGCAATAATACTAGTAAGCGGGCAAGTTGAGTCAGCCTGTCATAAGCCTGAGTCAGTATGAGCTCAAGATATCATGCTGACATGCTAAGAGTCAGCCGTGCGACACGCAAGCCAGAATTGACTTGTAGATTGTAGCCCGCGCGAACAGAGATGGCAGCTCGCTCACCGATGGAAATAAAATTTGATAAAGGGTGTTGATTCGTTGCTGCGAATACCACCATCGCTCAGTTAGAGCTTTTCAGGGAAAGAACACTACTTGAGGTTGGTACCCGGGACAACTTCAAGCCTGCGATCAGAGTTATCTGTGTAAATGCGCCCCGCATCTTGAATTATCGGTGCCGTTAGTGTGCCATTGCGAGAGTGTTCCTGGCACTCACTAGACCTTTTCACACTGAAGGATAATAATAGTGCTTACATCACCGACCAAACTGAACTGCTGTGTTATGAAGTTCCATCGTTTCAATGCATAAATCCTTTCGTCCCTGGAGATAGGAGATCCCGGCGCATGTGAGAGCAGAAATGAGGAAACTACCAACAGAAAGAAGACGACTCGGATCAATTAGATTTTCAGGTGGATCCCCTATGCGTGCGCTACCAGGCGCTACCAATTTATTACCAAGGCCGTTCGTGACAATTGTGCGCTTTCTCCATATGCCTAGAGCGCACCTACACCCATCGTTGGTAAGGCAGCGTATCGCGAGGTGTAAGGAACCAAAAGCTTGAAGGAGTACAAGGATGGATCATAATGCAGCGATTCTGATCACCGCTAAGATGATGGATTTTCCAAATTTGCAAACACTGTGAGAACAGTGAGAAGTTCAGGAGATGACGACTAACTTGAGTGTGGGTCGCTGTTCCTGACCGGGGTTTTAGACTGAAATTAACTTGAACCTTTCCGCTGAAGGGACGCTCTGTAATCACGACTCATTTGCGCTCGGTGGTGATTAAACACGGCATGTTCCTTACACATGGGTCCGTGAAAAGCGCTGACACGCTGTTGAATAAATTGTTTTTTCAGATAAACCTCCACCTGCTTACCGCAACTGTCTACCGTTGACCACAATGTCATTTTTTGAGCTAGTCCAGGACGACATGAGCAAGCGCACTCGCCCCACCATAGTCACCGCCTATAAGACGGTTATCAATGAGCATAAGGTTGACAGGAACCATTAACGCTCGCACCGCATGGATTCCATCATTTTGCGCTCGCTGGCTGTTTGAAAAACAGAGGCGATCACCGAGCTTGATACTCCATTAGTCTCGGGCCGATCGTTGTAGCGCAACTTCAGGATCTTTAGGTTTGTGTTCCTAGATCATCTCTAGAGGCGGTATGTCTAGGCTTGCGTGTTAGGCCGGCGGCGGCATGATCGATAGTCCGTTGGGAATATTCACTGAGACCCTAAAGTAGGATGGCAGTCGACTTGTAACCATGAACGAATTTACTCCTGGCAGCTGGCTGGACTAAATAATCATATTGATGTGCATTGTTTAGTAAAAATATAATCATCTAGCAGGTTGCAGTTTCTACCTCATGCTGAAAGCAGCTGTATGCAGATGTAATTTCCTTCCTAGCGGAATTCAACACACGATCGAATCGCATCATGGATTGACTGATCATGAATTCATAGACAGTTTTCCATTTTCGACTACTCACACTAGGGTTAGGGTTAGGACACCCAACCAGCAAAAAATAAGGCCCACCCAGCCAGAGTGGCCGTGGTGGGACAGGAAAATATTGAGACAGTGCATGAGCCGAAGCTCACACAAACTGCAGGTACCCTCTGAGGACAGGGTCGCCGTGCTATGAAAGGTCCCTACAGCCCAAGAACCTGAGACATGAAGAGGCCCGTGCCATCAAGGTAAGTATGAGGAATTCGATCCATGAGTGGTCGAGTTTTATACTGGGCTGATTGCGCACGGACCATCGGGTGGTAGCGAAACGTAGCGAGGGAATTTGGCAAGCTTCGGCCAATTGTTGGGTCTGCGTGATTCGAAGTTCTGGCAAGACCCGGCGTTGACGTTGAGGGCGCCGCTCAGCAAAATATCATGATATGGAACGGAACACCATCATATGATAGAGTTTAAACTCATCAGCGGCAAGCCAGTATGCACGTATCTTTGTCCTAGTGTTGCTACTAGCTTATTCTGGAGTGCTCAGAGCAGGTCCTACCACAGCTAATTCGCAGCCGAAATTGTGCAAAGCATGCTATCCAGGCTATCTAAGAATAACCAAACAGTGGTGAGTGACCGAGCTAATGCATTCAAGAATCAGGACTATTATTCAGGATAGATTTTCTAGTTATGTGGTGACCTTGAGTGTGCTGAGCGAATGCGCTTGGCTAGGTGTCGATCGCGTGAAGGATCCCTCTCACAAATGAAGGAGAATGTATTTACGCAACTCGAAACAAGGGCCTATCTATTCTTCCGCAGACGAACTGCGGTATTAAAATGCTTGATGGTGATGCGCGCCCCTCCGATAGTGAGAGTGCTTCGTTACATGCACGATTTCACAACCAAGCCCCGAGGGTCGCAAATAGAGTTGGGACCTCAAGGAGACATGCGTTGCGCGATATGATACGAGTTATTGGCCAGCCGTTGCAGGAGCTCTCAATATGTCGTATTCGTTCAGAGCAAGCGATGGACTTCTCATTCCTATTCACAACTGTTCAGGACTTCCGCGGACGCTGGATGGTTGGTGGATCTGGACAATGCAAGTGTCACACAGGGTAAATGAACTTGAAGAGTGCATTCATGATGAACCTCGTTCCAACTTTTTCCCACATTTGAAAGGGACCTTCTTGCAACCTTTCTGGTGACTTCCTTTGTTCAATTGGGCCGCGGTGGATGTCTCTGCGCTACTAGTGCTTCTCGTGTTTCTCGTGTCAGGATCAGTGAAAGGCTTGAAACGATGATTGTAAGTCATGCTTGGCGTCCTCGAATGTTATCATTCATATGTTACAGTCGTACTGGGAAATAAAATGCAATTATACCTAGAAGCATCGATTGGATGCTTTGTTACGAGTGACAAAGTGCTTTACATGATCGCGGATGATTCAGACTAACGTATAAAGGCACGTCGCTTCACCTTGCTCCAACGCACATCTCTACGATATCCAAACAGCTCTCCTCGTTCACGATGACCCCATTCGCATCGGCGTGTCTGGTGACCGCATTCAACTGTAACATTGGTTACAATTGCACTTTAGAGAACCACTTCGACATTGCTACCATGGATGAAGAGCTAGCATCATTTAAGCCCCCGAACAATGTAAGCTGGATGATCTGTGTATGAATGGTGTCCTTATATTTCGCAGCTTTACGATGCTGTGGCTCGTGCCTGGGATTCACGTAATTGCCCACATACTCAGGGTTTCGGTCAGAAACGACCTCGTTACCTCGCCAGTGTGGTGGAAAGTTCACCCTCTGATATGGGAATAACATGGGATAGACCTGGCTATCGCCTTCGTCGTTCGTCTTACGAAGAGAGACGCGGTGCTGTGTCTGTAAGACCAAGTGAAGTTAACTCTCTGCGCCCCTATACTCTAGACTATGAGGATTTTCCAGCGCCCCAATCACCGTCTGTATCCTTGTATAGTCATGGAAGTGATAGCGCAGCTTCCAACGGACCAGCTGTCACCCAATGTGACGATCATCCATCTGATGCCGATGACGAGATGGATGACTGCGGTTACTCAACAGATGGTACAATGTCATGGCAGCCGCGTAGCGTCACACAGGATTCACCAACGCATTCGGCTCTTAGTTCCGTTTCATGGTCCGACGGTTCTGAGGATGGCTATACCCCTTCTACCCCCGACGTGGAAAGTGATGACGGTTATGATAATATCGATATTCCCCCTCCATCTACTCCAACTTCTTCGCATATCAGGGTTCTGGGTACCCGGACTGCTGATCACAAAGAAAAGACGGAATGCATCAGCTCCGACCAGGGGTAGCACCAAAAGGCGAAAATACCTCAGAGACGAGCAGAAAGCTACAACCCGCAAGCCATGTTCCTCATCCAATGCTTCCACACCCACTTATGGAACCGATGACTCTGAATATGAGTCATCGACATCCGTCAAAGGAAGAAGTCCTGCTGGATCCAAACAGACCACATTTCCCTGCTTACTCGACGGTTGTAGGCAGGTTTGTCACAGTGCCACCGACCTTGCACGTCACCGGCAGTGTCTTAGACATCGTGTTCCCGAATATTCATGTTTGGGTTGCCGACACCCGTTTACTCGCCCTGATGCTTTGAAGAGGCATCTGAATGGAAAGCCTGCCTGCAAACAGGCGCATCGAGCGGCTGTGGTTGCTAGCGAGGCATAGGGGATTCCTGATTGTTTTATTGGCCCCCAATTACATTGGAAGTCCTCCCTCTATCTGGTGCTACAAGCATCAGACATGTCTACCGGTGAATCTACTTCGTCTATGAGTCGATACTTGCTGTAACTTATATTAACAGTAATACAAACTACACAACCCTTGATCGTATGTATGCACAACTTAACAACAAAACGAGACGCAAAATATGTTCCAGTAGCACTGACATCTCAATCTGTTGATGTGCGGAGGTCTTGTATGAAGCCGTTAGAAGGAGATAGAGAGATCTACCTTACATAAGTGCTTCAAGCAACTCTGATGACATGTTCATGTAGAGATGCAAGTAACTCTTGAAAAGCCTGGAAGTTCTATTCCGAAAGGTGTAATAAAGCTAGATAGCCAATACATACAATACACAAGCTAGTCCCTCATCTTACAGGTGTGTAACAATAAACAACGTACAGAGACTCATTTAACTGCCGCAATATGCTGCGTTTATATAATAAGAGGATCTTCCCACTTTTGTGAATTTGAATTTCGAAGGGAATGTCCCTGCGCGGACGCTTCCTCCGAGCGCGACCTCGACTCCTCCAAAATTTCCTTAGAACTATTCGGCGCAAGGACATCGGCGGCTTTAAGCTCCTCCACGGGGACGGCACGACGTTTCCCAAGAAAAATCCTGCCCCCAGGCGCGTCTTCCAACGAGCGAATAATGATATTCTTCTCGAAGAGATATTTAATGTCTTCCAGAGGATACCCAGTCGTCTCGGGTATAAAAATATATACCCATGCTGCCATTATAAATGAAGCAACGCCGAACACGAGATAAGTCCCATAGGTTATGTGGTTCAGCATGATGGGCGTGATTTGGGCGATGACGTAAGTAAACAGCCAGGTAGTCGCAGTTGCGAGGGACATGACGGCCGTACGGAGATGGCCTGGGGCAACTTCAGAGCCGAGGACAAGGGGAGTAAAACCCCAGCCTATGCAGAAGAAGATGCCGAAGAGATATATGGCGACGATAGAAACGTACGTCCCTGGCACAACGCCCTGGTTTGGGTGAGCACCAGCGTACCCGCCAATCCATAGCATCATCAAACCCTGCAATAGACCACCATAAATCAGGGACCTCTTCCTACCCCAACTTTCGATGACGAAGGCGAGAGTTATTAATGTCATGACAAATTTCACGACACCATATATGCCAGTGGCAAATAGCGCTAAAGAAGTAGATGAGAAACCGAGGCCGGCGAATATTTCAGGGGCATAGTAATTAATTGCGTTCGTGCCGGACCACTGCTGGAAGAAGGTGGCGAGAGATGGGATGATACAGCGCAGGAATATGATCTTCGACTCCCCCATCTTGCGGAATTGTTCGAGCAGTGGCAGTTTGTGCTTCCCGATGAAATCGGCGCGAATTACGCTGAGAGTCAGCACGACGGCATCATCATCCTGGTTCTTGCTCGCAATATATGCGAGGGCTACAGCTGCTTCCTCGTAGCGACCGTGTTCCACAAGCCAACGGGGAGACTCGGGTTGGAACAGCATAAAAAACAGGAAGAGTGCCCCAGGTACAATCTGGGCGATAATGGGTAACCGCCACTGCATTTGTCCTGGTGAGATATTGAGAGAAACGCTGTAGTTGACCCAAACTATACACTATCGATCAAGCAAATTGTCACAGGTTTGGAAGTGACACTTACAAGCCAGCATATTTCCCAGTCCCACGGCAACCTCGATGCAGCCGGTGCATCGACCGCGTATGGCTCTCGGAGCACATTCGGATACGTACGTTGGCACCAAAGCTGACATCAAACCTACTCCCATGCCGCCCAAGAAACGGGAGAAATACAAAACTTTCAATCCGACAGCCGGGGACGTTCCAATTCCAGCTGTTGACTGGATGATGCTTCCAATGAGGTAGATGACTGCCGAAGCTAATAGAACAGGCTTTCTCCCAAATCGACTTGCAAAGTAACTCGAAAACAACGCCCCAAAGCTAAATATATGAGTCTAGTTGTGGTAAGCAGGAACTGAACTGCACCTACAATCCGCCTCCTTGCAGAACCGAGACTATATTCGCGCTCAAGCTGGCGCGCGCAGAGGCTGATTCCGATAGCAGACCGAAATATTCTTGAAATGATGGCAATGAGATCACGCCGCCTATTAGACCGATGTCCCAACCAAAGCAGACGTATCCCGTAGTCGCTGAGAACGCAAGAAAGTAGGCATTGCGGTACTGAATGATATCCCGGAGTTCCCTTTTCAAAGTCGTGGCCATATGGAGCAGAGAGTGTGATGTCGTGAACAGGAAGATGACCGTATCTCACCTAAAGGAGAGTGTGCAATGCCCCATATCATAGTGCGCATAGTTGTCTTAAGTGGATTCCAGCTTCGGACTAGCAAACCCCATTTGGACACTGGCTGCGCGCGGCATTACTGGCTAGTGTGATGGATAAGCGATATTTCTCGAGAAGGTTGCCACTGGCAGCAAAATATTAAGGAACGACTGTTTTCCTCCTGTGTGGAAAGACTGGTAGTTGCGCAAGAGGACCAGAACTTACAAGGCTTAGCTTCGACAATTCACTGCCGAGACTAGTTAATTACTGTCAAACACTCAGTACTACTCACTCAGGTTCAGCGCTGAGGGCTAGGCGCTAATTCCTTCTCCAAGGTGATTGATCGGAAGCGGATACAAGCGCGGTTGAACTAGAATAAATGCAGCAGCACAACATCACGCGTGCACGTAATACGTACGCCACTTGTTCACATGTTCAAGTTGGAAAGCACCAACGCAAACTTGCGAATGTACAAGGTAATAAGTAACGATCACGAGTTCTTCTTTGCAGCATGCGCAGTCGATGGACTCGGAACTGGGTAATGGGCATAATCATCGTCTCATCGCATCCCTCGGATCCGAATTAAATGGCAACGACTGCCTTCCTTCTTTGACAATTCGACAGTAGAAGATTGAGACACGCCGAGTCAGACATCGTGCAGAATTTTGCCTTCTGACTCTTATTGCTTCGGGTGATACGACGCCTGAAGTTTGGATTGGTCTATAGATCATGAGGCATGGGGTCTTTCCAACGTCCGAAAAAAGCACATCCATTTCTCTTTCACATCTTGAATTTGCACATGTGCGGCGCCACAGCCAACCTAAGCTTGATCAGGCTCATTTTAATTATATCTCATAGGTGAGGCCTGAATGGCTTTCGAAGGTTCAGTACGTCCGCTGGTGGAGTACAACCTAATAGGTCCGCTCACATGATAAGTACTTGTAATAGGTATCATAAGTTTAAGAGACCATGTTGAGACTCCAACTTCAGTAATGTCAATGACCATCATCAACAATCGAATCCAGTCTTGTGTACCGGTTCTATCCATGCATGATCGACTGGAAACTCCCCAAGTTGTAGGCAAGTCCGATCAGCGCATGCTTGTGTGTCGAGGAATCCAGGCAGGTTAGCAACTCGACGTGGCTGTCTCGGGAAGGTGCAGCTATGGTCTAGCAGGTAAGCATGCGATAGGCGAGGATGTCAAACCGCCACCGTATTGCCTTCCGAGCGCAGACAATATCGACATAGTTCAAAGTTGGTGTTGGCAGCGGAGATAGGAGTGCATTGACGTTTCACTTGACCATAATTAGATCGACCACAATCATTCGTCAGGGGCACCGCCCCCACCGGGTTCCTATATCATTAGCCTTTTCGAAAAGGATGTGTAGCCTCCGATAAACGGGCGCGGGGAAAGTTACATAGTAACCATCCCAGGCCGAATACAAAGAACGTGTCTAATATATCTACGCAAAGCGTCAGGATCCGTTCGTTCCACAGAAACTCGCAAGAAGGTAGATACGAGACTCACAGAACTTTCACGATACTCCCGAAACTGCGATAACCCTCACATGATTGGGAAGATCTGCACTAATCTAAATGTGAACATACTCACGGTAGTGTAGTTCTCTCATCGGAGGGACTTATAATGAAGCAGTGCTGTGAGCAAATGGCCTGGTAACCTACACTCCGAGACTAGCTGAGTGCACTCTCGCTTGTGAAAGCTTTCGAACGTTTCCTTTCGTCGCATGTTGGTTTCATGTGAGTTGCTCGCTCCCAGCGCGGCCCGTGGATATGCAAGTTCACACGCTCGCCTTGATAAAGGTAAGGATCGAATGGATCAGTCTATCATCACACCACGATTACTTAGACCTCCGAAGCACCTGATCTCCCAAAATGCCTGGCACAGAGAGCGCGTTCCCAATTGATCTCAAGCAATACAGAAAGTCAGTCTTCTTTTGTTGCAGTAAATTTGGAATGTGTGCTCAATCGGGGTTCTTATGATGCGATAAGATTGACTCTTGACCCCTCCAAGCCCCAGTTGACTGCAGAGCAGAAATCGACTCTTCTGCACAACATCCAGCTTCTCCGTGATGCTCTCGTGCTCTTCACTGCAACAGGCGCTGCTCGGGGAGTGAGCGGGCACACTGGTTTGTGGCTTTGATCACCGACGGCTTGCTTTTCGCTTACTGTTCGCACCAGGTGGAGCTTATGACACCATTCCGGAGGTGTGCATTCTCCTCAGCTTGTTCGAGGCGTCGGAGAAGTACCTCCCCATCGTCTTCGACGAAGCAGGTATGTGAATGAATATATGCATCTTTTGGACTTGATCTAACAATATATCAAGGTCACCGTGTCGCAACTCAATACCTCCTCGCTGCTCTCGATGGGCACATTCCCCCCGAGCACCTCCTTCACTACCGTGAAGCCAACTCAAAGTTACCCGGTCATCCCGAACTGGGTTTGACACCTGGTGTCAAGTTCTCCTCTGGCCGTCTTGGTCACATGTGGCCCATGGTGAACGGTGTCGCCATGGCCAACAAGGAGAAAGTTGTCTTCTGTTTGGGTTCCGATGGTTCCCAGCAGGAGGGTAACGATGCCGAGGCTGCCAGATTGGCTGTCGCGCAGAACTTGAATGTTAAATTGTTGATCGACGACAATGACGTCACTATCGCCGGACACCCATCTCAGTACCTGAAGGGCTACGACGTCAGTAAGACTCTCGAGGGTCACGGTCTCAAAGTCCTTACCGTTCAGGGTGAGGACATCGACGCACTGTGGGCCGCCATTGCCGCGATTATCACCTACGATGGTCCTGCTGCTGGTAAGCCATTCGACTTGCCAGCGTAACTTGAATTTTGATCATGGTTCCAGTCGTCGCCAAGCGTCTTATGGCGCCGGGTGTTGCTGATATTGAGGGTAGCACTCACGGGCACGATGTTATCCCTGTGAAGTCCGCCATCAAATACCTCACCGCGCGGGGGTACCCCACTTCAACGTCGGAGGATATTCTCAACAACATTAAGCCTTCGAGCGCGCCATACTTATACATTGGCTCCACCAAGGAGGTTGGCGCAAACCGTGTTGTCTTTGGTGAAGCTGTCAACTTGGTGCTGGACAAGCTTAGCAAGGAAGAGGCTGCCGCGAAAGTCATGGTGATCGACAGTGAGTTCATTGATAAATTTTGGAATTTGGCTCATTTCCAAAAAGGTGATCTCGAGGGTTCCACTGGTCTCAAAGTCATCCACCAAAAGCACCCTGAGGTGTTTGTTCCATCTGGTATCATGGAACGCGGAAACTTCTCGACAGCTGCTGGTTTCGGTTTCGACGCGAACAAGTTCGGTGTCTTCTCAACGTTCTCCGCTTTCCTTGAGATGGTTATCTCTGAGGTCACTATGGCCCGCCTGAACAACTGCAATGTTCTCAGTCACTTCTCGCACTCTGGTGTTGATGAGGTGTGTGATTTATCGATGTTATATCTGAGGCTTGGGCTTACCTTGTCTATAGATGGCCGACAACACCTGCCACTTTGGTGTCAACTCCTTCTTCGCCGACAATGGTCTCTCTGATGTTCAGTCGTGGCTGTACTTCCCTGCCGACCCATTGCAGATGGTGGCTGTCATCCAGCGCGTCTTCTTCGAGCGTGGTCTCCGTTTCGTCTTCTCCACGCGTTCGAAGGTACCTTACATCCTGAAGGAGGACGGTACCAAATTCTTCGGTGACGGTTACAAGTTTGTTCCTGGCAAGGACGAGACGATCGTCGAGGGCAAGGCGGGATACGTTGTCTCCTTCGGTGAGATGCTCTACCGCTCGTGGGACGCTGTCCTGCGCTGCCGCAAGGAGGGCCTGGATGTTGGCTTGATCAACAAGCCCACGCTCAACTTGGTCGATGAGCAAACGCTCAGGAAGATTGGTTCAAGCCCCTTCGTGTTGGTTGTTGAATCACTGAATCAGAAGACTGGGGTATGTATCCGTTCGTGTGCGGTAGGCCTACACTAACGGCTCTTTCAGCTTGGTTCGAAGATGGGTACTTGGCTCATCGAGCGCCAGCTCACACCCAGGTATGGTTACATGGGTACGACCAAGGAAGGCTGTGGTGGTCTGTCCGAGCAAATTCCTTACCAAAACCTTGACCCTCAATGTTTGTGTTGTTCTTGAATTTAGTGCTGACTGATATTAATTGTGACGTTCCCACAGCGATCATCATGAAGATCAAGCAGTTGTCCAACTAGAAAATGGAATATAATTATAGAAGGCTTTTCAAAAACACAATATTACTGTAATGCAATTGCAATTTGTACTGTTACCTTGTAGGACTGTGCCGTAGTGAATACGAATTCTTGATCGTGTTAAGCACCTATGGAGAAAAAGATGAGTGAATTTTGAAATGAACACCGAGTCAAATGATAAGTCAGAGAACCGAGTTTCGACACCAGTCATCAATAGATGACTTTGAGACGGCACTTCCTAATTGCATTCGGTTACAGATCATCGTAGAATGGTGAAATAGATGACTCTAAACAGTGAAATCATGGCTCACTCACCTCTATAATCGATAGGATGGCATTAGGAGCAATAAAAAGTTGGAAGGCACTTAAGGTTTCAATTTAAGCTCCGATCTAATAAAACAGGAAAAGCATTTGTCGCCTAACCGCTTTCTCACGACCACAGCCGAGCGTCTCAGGGGATAAGCTGTTAGCAACTGCTAACAAGAAACTCTCCATTAACTGGCTACAAAGACTAACGTTCATCAGTGGTGAGCTCTACATCCTCCATCATCAAAGATTCATCCTCTATTTTCCTACGTTTTTCTCATTTTTAAGAGCATTTTTGAGCCACGCAATAGACGATGTCCTTGTCGAGATTACTGTTTTATCTTGGATAACTACTTTCTAGCGTGTTGGGTTATGTCGTATATTCGGTCTTTGTTGCAGGGATATCCTCT